GGTAGGATCAGTATATTTCTGGCGTTCGAAGATTGTTTTATCACGGATTGCGCAAATCCATTATGTGGTAACTGACCATTGATTTAAGCAATGGTTTGAATACATTTGGAATATTTATTTTTATTTTAAATAGTTGTAGCAGACGCTACTCTTCATCAGCTTGGTTTAACTCTACGTTATGGAGCAAACATATTTTAGATATACAGAGTTAGATTTATGGGGTACTGAATAAGTCACTTGCCCTAGGAGAAACCTAGAGTCTCTTGGCTACCTACGATTAGAAATACAGAGAAAGTATGATCTGTATAATTAATTGCTAACAAAGGATCTACCCATTTCTCTTATTACTCATGTCTTTTTTATAACGCATTCACTGGGCGAAAGTTCCAGATTTAATTGGAACGAGGGAACTTTCCAGTTAAGGCACACAACGAAGTTTTAGGGAACACTTTCTCTGGGATAAATTTATATTCTCAGAATTATCGAACGTTGATTTTTAATTAAACAGAAAGACACTCGAAGGGAAACATGTATTAATATAATCTACTCTAAACAATCTGCAGCAACACTTGCAACAATACTTGCAGTAATACTTGCAGTAAAATTCACATTTATTAATACAATCTACTCTGAACAATTTGCAGCAACACTTGTAGTAATACTTGCAGTAAAATTCACATTTATTAATACAATCTACTCTGAACAATTTGCAGCAATACTTGCAGTAATACTTGCAGTAAAATTCATATGTATTAATACAATTTACTCTGAACAATTTGCAGCAACACTTGTAGTAATACTTGCAGTAAAATTCTCTTTTATTAATACAATCTACTCTGAACAATTTGCAGCAACACTTGCAGTAATACTTACAGTAAAATTCACATTTATCAATACAATTTACTCTGAACAATTTGGAAGCAACACTTGCAGTAATACTTACAGTAAAATTCTCTTTTATTAATACAATCTACTCTGAACAATTTGCAGCAACACTTGCAGTAAAATTCACAAACAATAACCAAATAAAACTGCATTAAAAATACCGCATTTTACAATAACGTCAAAAAGTTAAAACTAGAAAAAGCACGTTTTGTTCGGGACACCCGGTAGAAACACGGTGCGGAATTCACTCGAAAGTAATTTCAAACCCTCTGCCAACTCGTGTTACCGAGTTAATTGCTCCACGATATTAGGTGTTGCCGACATTTACCGAACGATTGGGAAGTCTTCCGTCTTCCAGCCTCGGTGCAAACCTATCACCGGTACGTCCTTGGTACAATCACCACCCACGTGTTTCGATATACGTGGTAACCGTGTCTGAACATCGATTCGACGTAAAACGGTAACGTCGAAAAAGTCACGGTCACGAAAAGTGAACCATGAGAAATCGAACGGTGCTACCAATCTTTCTCTCGGTCGAATGTAGTTCGTCGAGCAGGCTGAATCAGCACGCTCTTCGCGTCCTCGGGGCTTAATCTTTGAGATATTGTTATCATCCTGTCAGCAAACACAGCCCGATCTTATCCGAAAATCGAGATAAACCTACTACTTCTTCGATCGATAAATCTTGCATTGTTGCATCTTGAGATTCAATTTGGGGGAGAATGTAGTTCTGATTTAAATTTATGGTCAGGGAGCAAATTTATGGAGTTACAGATATTTAGATGGTAGGATATTAATATATACTGCTGGATGTATATGTAGAGAAATATCTCAGGATACTTTCAGTTTTTTGGATTACTATATTTGTATATTGCTATCACTCATTATAAGTTACTAGGTTTGTGGATTGTTATACATATAGGTATCAAGTTCCTTGCACTTGTTGACCCCTATACGTCTCTATACCTCAACATGCATGTACTACAACATACATGTATCACAATGTCCATATGCCACAACGTCCATATACTACACATCCATGTAACACAACGTTCATGTAACACAACGTCCATGTACCACAACGTCCATATACCACAACGTCCACATACGACAATGTCCACATACGACAACGTTCATATACCACAATGTCCACATACGACAACGTCCACATACGACAACGTCCATATACCACAACGTCCACATACGACAACGTCCATATATCACAACGTCCATATACCACAACGTCCACATATCACAACGTCCACATACGACAACGTCCATATACCACAACGTCCACATACGACAACGTCCATATACCACAACGTCCATATACCACAACGTCCACATATCGCAACGTCCACATATCACAGCGTCTACATATCACAACGTCCACATATCACGACGTCCATATACTCCAATATCCCTATACCTCAATATCCCTATACCTCAATATCCCTATACCCCAATATCCCTATACCCTAATATCTCTATTTGATCGATATCTCTGCACACCATAATCTCCACATCCCTAGATCCCCAAATTCCCAAACCATGAATCCCCCACTTCCAGATCGAAACATCATTAAACCAAAAATATCCCTAAATCGAAAATAATATAATAATACATAGCTTCTTCGCAAGACTCGTACAATACATCGCTGATTACATTGAATAATAGTGCAGTCCGTACATGACGCGCCGTCTATCTCAAACACGTTAAATGGACGATTTCAATCCGTCTACAGGTCTGATTACTCGATTTCGCAGATTAACTTCGTTTTCCCCACTCTACTGAGGCTAGTTTTTTTCGTCGTACGACGACAGTCTCCAGCATACCGTGCAAGTGAATTGCAATTAGGTTGATGACTCTGATAACGGTGGTGTACGACGCGACGTAGCGAACTACTGCTTCGTGGTAACGTTGCTCGACATAGAGGAATCGTCGCGACACGCAGCCACAATAAAACTCGGATGTACCTATTAACCTATTAATTCACGAAAACTACGTGATATCGTTACCGGCTTAGATCGTCGCTGAACTCCAAACGATCAAGAAATATCGATTCATTGATCGATATCTGACGCTGATAGTACTTAATCGTATCTCTTAAAAATGTATCGCATGCAACTGTGACGTGGTTATCGGTAATTATAATTTGTTAAGTATACGAACAGTAGTTGCACAGTCGCAGAATTACGATGCAAGTTTTTATTCGGTGGATGTAACTCTTGCGGAATAAAGACTTCCTTCCATGTACAATTAAACGTATACTTTTTGACAGTGCCGGCATTAGCGGGCACGTGCCATAGGTACCACATTCAGAAATTTTTACATTTTAGAAAAATTAAACAGTATTACTGTTGACTCGCGTTATATTGCCATTAACAGTAGTGGAGTAGAACATGGAAATATAGCACGTAACGATATAACGTGTAATATAGTGTATGACAACGCAACGCATAAAAATACAATTTTTGGCAATATAGCGCATGGTAGTGCAACTCGAGGCAATATAACGCGAGGCAATATAATTTGTGAAAATTCGGTGCGTGGCAATACAACTCAAGGCAATATAGCGCGAAGTAATAAAATTCATTAAAATACGGCGCGTGGCAATATATCGCGAGGTAATAAAATTCATGAAAATACGGCGTGTGGCAATATAGCGCGAGGTAATAAAATTAACGAAATTTGGCGCGTGGCAATATAGCGCGAGGTAATAAAATTCATGAAAATACGGCGTGTGGCAATATAGCGCGAGGTAATAAAATTTATGAAAATACGGCGCGTGGCAATATAGCGCGAGGTAATAAAATTAACGAAATTCGGCGCGTGGCAATATAGCGCGAGGTAATAAAATTAATGAAATTCGGAGCGTGGCAATATAGCGCGAGGTAATAAAATTTATGAAAATACGGCGCATGGCAATATAGCGCGAGGTAATAAAATTAATAAAATTCGGCGCGAGGTAATAAAATTCATGAAAATACGGCGCGTCGCAATATAACTCAAGGCAATATAGTGCGAGGTAATATAATTCGTGAAAATACAGCGCGTGGCAATAAAGTTCGAGGCAATATAACACGTGACAATATCAAACATTAATCATGGCAATATAACACGTGGTAATATGAAACATAGAACAATACAACTCGTGGCAATATATCAGAATTGAAAATGTGTCAGTTCCTGCTCTATCACCTTTGAGTAAAATTTAATCCAACCCAGAATTCCAATTACCCTAAAAATTGATTATTCTGTAAAATCTAGCAACGCCTCCGTCTCCGGTCTATTTCACACGCGTGCAATAAAATTAAATAAGTTACTCGAGATTATAAAGTGAGTTCAAACACTAAACAGAGATTTATAACAACAGCCGTTTTTCTAAAAGCACAATTCGTTATGTAACTCAATCTCATGATACACAAGTAGTCGAGGTGTGTACATAACGTGAAACAATAGGTCACACTGTTTGATTCCGAAACAAACGAACGTAACATTTATTAACTCGGGTACATACCATTCACTGGGCTTGTTTGTATAGCCAGTCATTGACCTCGTTAAATTTAACCTTTCACTACCATTTTCCTCATTGTTTTCTTCTTGTTAATGATACGCGGCCAATTATGAACAATTGCATGTGATTCATTATTATTCTTATTCCGGATAAAATGAGTTATATACTTACTTAGCGATGTTCACCCATTAGCTACATATTTACATTTTTTCAAGTTTCGCTCCGTTTAAACTAGACTTGTTTCATAAATATTCATAACCGCGTAATAGTATACATTCCGATTTAATGGTAATAAATATAATCATTGTTACGTAGAACTTACAAAGTCTTCACGCAGAATAACGTTGAAATTAAACTGGTTACCTGTGAGCTTTCTCCACCTACAGCAATGACCTAAGACAGTGAACAATTCGACCGACTTCTGACCGCTTTCTCGACTATTTACCGTATTTCGGTCTATATTTCCATTTACGAAAGAAACACCTTTACGCGTAAAGAATTAAATTCTATACCTTTTATGTGAACAGATGATCACTATATTAGTTACTCGTCGACGAATAACAATGCATAAATAACAATTCTGTTTTATTGTTACAGCCGCACATTCTCACTCTCACTCGCACTCGCATGGTCACTCACACGGACAGGACACCGAGCATCACCACGAAGATGATCACGACCACAAATTGGATTCCTACGAATACGCGCATTCAAACAAAACGGGCGAACAAATATTCACTGATACGATTGATAAGGTTACGGAAAGCATCGCAGAAGCAGTCAGCAACGCTTTATCGTCCACGACGAGAGCTCCGACGAATACTTCGTTGAGAATGAGGAACGAAACAACTCTGAACCGAGACCACAGTTAAAAATTGATTCGTGCGGGAGTGAATCCCTTAAACAAGGCGCTAATAGTTACTCCGTGGGACAATGTCCCTGCGATTGTTACTTATTTTTAGGAATCAATCAATCGTGCTATGTACAATTTATTAATAATCTTGAAGAGATTTTCTAATTAATAGAAAAACAGAGGTGTTGGTCGAAGACAGTATTATGAAACGTTGGTTTCAGCGCGAGAAAGAATGACATTCTTGCTGTATGTGCGCTAATGCGTGTTATATCTTTGATACGCACATTATGAGGGTATTTAAATAGGGAGGTTTATGAAATACGATTAATGAAAAGTGTTATGTTTAAGAAAACATGTGTGATACGATTGACGAGTTACATCGTGCAATCGCGTTACTTATCCTTTCTTTTTATGTAATTTAAATTGTATGGAATATCTATACTGAGTATCTTTTATATTGTAATTAGAAAATCGTATTTTAATTGTATATATCGATATTTAAATACATTGCAGTAATGCACCGCTTAGAATCAGTTTAAACATAAAAAAAATCGATAATGGTTTTAATCGTGTTTTAATGAATTTAGATATTTCAGTACGCATTATCATTTTACTTTACGATATATTGTACACCGCGTATCGTTGAGAGTAATAACCCATCAGTAATTATAAAGGCGATAGAAATCAAAAAACTCATCCTTCACTTGGTTGTAAATCACGTTAACGTGGTACATTGTTATTCATAAACACGTTTCAATAATAATAATACAGAAATGCTATTTTTGAAACCAAAGAATTGATTTTTAAATATAAATTATATTTTTCGACGTAATAAACAAATCACGATTACAATAATATGTACATACATATGAAGCAAAAAGTTTTTTAACTAAATAAATAATTGCTATAATTTTAAGATAAAATATTTTCGATTTAATATGGATGAAAGTAGCCCCATAGTATTTCTTTTTCCGTGATTTTTATTGCATTTATAATTTTTAATATTTTCTGCAAAATAACTGGATGACTCAACATCATTGTAACACAATAATTAATTTGACTAAGGCTTTTACGAATATAAATTGTTCACTCGTGTCTTAAATACTTATTGTTTATGTTTATTATTTATTATTTTTATTTACACACCATCATGTGAATATATTATACAGACACATAATGTGACTGGTTTGTATGTACAGTTTATCATCAAATACTTACACATACCACCATTACATTTTGTATACTGTAAAATGTATTAATAAAATAAAAAAGTTTTGATACCAAAATCATCCTCTTCTGACTAAAAAAATAATATTGATAAACATAGCAATTTAAGTTTAATAACGGACTTTATTAAACAAATGATACAGTGTTGTTTTCCATGAACCTGTACACATTTTTAAGCTTACACATTTCATTAATTAAAATTGATTCTGAACATGTTGCTTACAAAAAGACAAAACGTGCACGTGCACAACAATAAATTAATGTTACATTTATGTTTGCTTGAGAAATCAATACAACTTATTCACTATTCGTGATATAAAGTCATTTACTTTTTTTTGCTAATACAACATTTATTAAAACTGCTGGGAAATTTGCAGATTTCTACCACTACTGCTAATTAGTTACTTTCAACATATTTTATGTTTTGAGAAATGCACTCATATTATAAAGACTTTACAAATCATTAAGCAATTTTTCTTGTCTTTTTTTACACCTTTTATATATAAGTTATATAAATTCATAAACATCGATATATAATGTGAGATATATTTCACGTTTCAAGAAATTGTTTGTCATCAATTCATTGTTTGTAATACTCTTGCTTTTGTCTTATTCATCATTGAAATAATTTTCAGATCTTATAAATAATTGACCAGGACAAAACGGAAATAATTTATAATTATGTTCAACATAATTTCACACTCAACCTTCTGCTATTTATGCAGCAAGGATCATACAAAAAGTAAGAAATTGTAGATATTTAAGAACTCCTTACTGAACTTTACATTTCTTCTTTGCTTTGGTTCAACACAATTACATTTCATAATATATTATTGCAATTTTTTTTTAGATGCATTTATTACACAATGATCATGTATTAATTATGAGAACTTAGTTGATCTATTTCTTCTGTATTTGTCCATCAACAAAGTCCAGATAACTGGAACCGATCTTAATAAATGTAAGTCCAGAACCAATGCCAAGTATTGTACACAAAGTAGGATTAGGTGGTACCATAGATCGCAATACTGCCCAGATTAACACAGATCCAAAGCTCAATAAGACAGCTCCAGTAGCACTGTTACAAACATTAAAAAGTAAAGTAGTTAACATGGTATACTATGTGCATATCTGCAATCTATATAAAATAAGCACAGACACAAAATTTGATGTTAAGATACATAGATAAATTCTTATAGTTTAATCATTAGTACTAAAATAACTTTGTCAATACTTATTTTAAATAGACAACATTTAAATAACATATATTATAAACACAAAACAAATTACCTATATAATAGTTTTGCATCGTAAGTAGCATTTCTCATATGATCACGAGTATATATGTACGATCCAGTACCAATGAGAGCGCTTCCCAATAAAAAGTTTGTAATATCTTTTTTTGGAAACACCCTATAAACACATTATTATAATACATTATAAATTAACAAAGTAAATACTTATCAAATGGATTAATTAACGATAATATACAATTATTACTAAATAATAAATGCCATAGTCTAAACACAACTTTTTACTTAATACTTTGGCATTGATTAATTTGATTGTATAAAAATTAAATATTGATTTATATATTTAAATTAAATAGGTCAAATATAGTAGTTTATAAAAGTCAAGCAAGGAGGAACATTTCAGTTACAATTTGTAACTTATTCATAAGATTATTCATTGAAATATCTGCTGCTGAATGATTACGTAACATTCTAAAAATGATGAAACATGTATACCTAAGTTTGAGGTTAATGTTTGATCGTATAATTCATTACCTGACGACAAGACTTGGATTCATTACATTGATGGATAATGCGGTGTAAGAAGCGACACCGAAAGCAGGAGCGTAAAATTTAACGAGACTGCATTTCGTAATTGGTTTCAAACCGAGTTTTTGAAAAATTGTGCCGGAGTTCGTGCTTCCTGCAGCAGCCATTGTACCTTGGTCTTCTTCTCTATGCAGTTTTCGATCGACTACTACTGGAATATCGCGTTCCTAACGCGATAGAATACAGATTTAATAAACTAGGGCTTACAGGAATTGTACCAAACCAATAGTACGGAGAAGTACGAATTTGAAACAGAAAAATAGAATTTAATAGCGCGTTCCTAAATGCATTACCGGCGTGAAATTGTTTTAAAATGTGTTCCAAAATTAAATTTTAAATAAATTCGATTGTTATACAGTATAGTCTCAGTATATGGCCCTGGACAAGAAATCTTTCATAAAATAGGCCATATCAGTGCAACTGTATTCATATAGTATTTAATTATTAAAATCCTTTCGCGAACAGCGCAGCTCATGAATTGTTAATTAAAAAATTTTCCAACTAGAAACTTGCAAATTACAAAGAATGTAAATTTGTAAATTTACAAACGGTTTCTGTAAATCAATGTACGAATCTTATAGATCGAAGTCCGTGTTGAAAAGAACTCCCTCAACAAACTATATAAATGGGAATGATACAGTGGAATTGCACTATACATACAGTGATTTTATTTAAAATTCAATGTATTATTTTTATTTTAATTCCATGTTAATTTCATTCATACTTTTCATCTTCAAACATGGAATACATTATTCGACATTGCAGTAATATTTTGGATACACTATTTTACATCATTATCACTACTAGTTTATATACAATGTCAAAAGCACGAATAATATTTGTACTATTCCTTGGTAAGGATTCATGGATAAAAAAGTATTGTCTTTTGAGGTGTCTTTGATAAATTTACTATTTCTAATCATATGTACACGTAAGATCACCAACTACAACATGGCAGTGAATATTACTATGTACTAATTGATCTATAACATTATATCGTTTCCTTACGGTACTATACATTTATAAATAAAATAAATATACAATCTGTGTATGTACAACTCAACCGTAATAAACGAAATTTATTTTTTTGACGATCCGCTACCTTTCAACCTAAATTTCGAGTATTTACCCTAACAATCTTTTGTACAGATCTTGCAATGGTAGGTGTCGCTATAATGAAAATTTGATATAATATTAATATAAATTTGTTCTAAAAATTGTATTTTAAGCATTAACAGCGGGACCTAGCCTTGTATGTGGTAGGGGATTAAATGGAGTTGTGTTTCGAATCTCTTTTTCTGCGCAATTGGCATAAATATCGGCTGTAAGTTCGCTTAATGGAATTTCAGTATCTGCTTTCGCAGCTTTCACGGCGTCGTCAACTTGTTTCTTTATTTCACTTTCAATTTTCTGTATAAAGCAACATAAATTTTTAATTATTTCATAATCGTTTAAGTCAAAAGTACATATTTTAGTCAAATTTACCTTAATTTCATCTTGCGAAATAAGATTAGAATTCAATACTCGTTCTTTGAAACCAGTGATAGGATCTCTTGTTTGTCTTACTTCTTGAACTTCTTCTCTGGTACGATAACTCGTTCCAGGATCGGACATACTGTGTCCACTATATCTATAAGTTACAGCTTCCAAAATAATAGGACCTTTACCAGATGTGCAAAAGTCTACAGCAAATTTTGTAGCTTCCCTCATTGCCAGTACATCCATACCATCCACCTGAAAGTATATTTAATTAGTTTAATACATAATGAAACTATGAAAGAGAAATTTTTCTTTTTTTGTAAACGAACCCAAATTCCAGGGATAAAGTCTCCTCTTGTGTAATAATCTGTACTTGCAGAAGAACGTTCTACGCTAGTACCCATACCGTACCCGTTATTTTCACAAACAAAAATACAAGGGACATCCCACAATTTAGCCATGTTGTATACTTCAAATACTTGTCCTTGATTAGCTGCACCATCTCCATACAACGTTACACATACTCCTCCAGTATTCATGTACTTTTTAGCAAAGGCAATTCCAACTCCTAGTGGCACCTATTATCATCATAATAATTCTATGCTGATCAATATTTTATTAATTTTCGAATTTTTCTTTCAAAACATCAAATTTCTAACTTTTTAAATTCATAAATTTGATAAATCCAATAAATACTTACTTGAGCTCCAACAATGCCATTTCCACCATAGAAGTTTTTAGAATACATGTGCATGGAACCACCTTTACCCTTCGCATTACCACCTTTCCTACCAGTTAATTCAGCTAATACACCAAATGGTTCTATTCCCATTAAATAAGTCCATCCATGAGCACGGTAGGCCGTGATTACAGCATCTTGCGGTCGAAGAGATGCTTTTATACCAACAGCACAAGCTTCCTATCAAAGCAGCAATACTTTGTTCAACTGGCAGAAATTGTTTTTGATTAACTTGTGAAATAAATTGAATTATTTTTACCTGGCCAGAGTATAAATGGCAAAAACCTCTAACAATTTTTTCTTTATACAGATTTCCTGCTGCTGTTTCCATACGACGAATTGTATGTAATTTTTTGTACAAATCGATAGCTTCGTCTCTAGTGACAGTAACATGAGTAGATGGACCACTATCCAGTTTGTGTAATCGAAAAGGTTTTGTTTCAAATGAAGCTTCTGTGGCATAATTGTTCTTTTTGTTGAAGAAATAAGATACCACCTGCAAATATATCAAGTTTAAAATTTGTTACAAATAACTTTAGATAAAAAGAAGCATAGTATCTATAAAATGCTATTCTTGCTATATGAAGTGATACATAAAATAAAAACATATATTTAAAAAACTATGCCAAATTAAAAAATTCATGGTGTTTCTGTGATTCTAAACACAATCACACTGCAATGCGATGAACTCGTGTGAAATATTTAAAAAAAAATTCGGCACGATGCAACATGTATAATGTGATTTTTAGTAAAAAACACATTAATGATTTCTAAACGAATAATTACCTCATTCCAACTTCCGAACTGACGAAACACCAGAAGGGGATATAAAAAAAAAGAAAAGAACGACTGTTCAATTGCAAAACTTCAAGAGCGATCATACGATTAGAAAATATAAGAAGACCCTGGCATGGAACGTGTTGGCAAGTAGTTAACTAAAGGTCATTTATCGTTCATTAGATTAAGTACTTACGTTTCGCTTCGAGGTTTGCACCCCTATATTTCTGATGCAGTTCGGAATCATTTTCACAAAAATGTTCTTTAATCGAAACGAGAATTAAGAGGATAAAGGAGGAATCAAAAAATTAGAAAATGGATTGAACCAGGACGGGTCATTCATTTGGCGCGGACAGTATCGTAAAGACTAGACTTGTAAACGTCATAGGTTCATACGATTCTTCCCCCCTCTTCCCACGAGTACTATAGTCATTAGGGACCATCTTCATTGAGCCAAATAATCGCAAACCTACGCGAACAAAATATTCGTAATGTTCGACGGTACATTAGAGCATATTGTACATATTTAGTACTCGTAGGTTATCTTTTTCTACTTGCTCAATTAGGAATTTGAAATTGGAGATGATAAAAATTGGAAATTAAGGATTTGCAATTCCGAATATGACTAATATTCGATGGTTTTTACTAAAGAGCAACAAACATAATGCGCTTCCTCGTTTGTGCTCCTTTGCACTCCTTCGGCTTAATGAATGTGCGCCTTTAAATATGTTGCACAGTCTGACTTAACGGATCATTTACAATAAAAAATGAAACACGTGTTTATAGTACCAAGTACAAAGTTTCGATAGAAAATTTTTTTTTAATATAAAAATTATTATATTAGATTATAATGTATAGTTTATAACAAAATATATTATTACATAATATTAAAAACACGTTTTCAAATTATCTAGCTATGCGAATAATGTAAGAAAATTGTCTAACATTTATTATTTTATTGGTTTAGTTTGAAGCTGTTCAAAGAAAGTATTAGGAAGTATTATATATTCAAACAGATATTTCAAGGTAACCTTCGTGATTAAAAATAGTTTACGAAATCAGCTGATTCAAGATATTTACTATTCGAAAACACGTGGGTTACTTATTTCCCGTTGGATTGTACTCAATTTGCGTAACTCGTCTAATTCATGCATAATCTATTCTTCTTTTTTACAATATCAGTCATGTACGTGGTAAAAAATATATGAATAGTGTAAGTAACAATGATGTAAGAAGAATGTAGGATGGAAAAAATATACAAAATAAAAGATCATGGGTTATACACGTTTGACATTGTAAATATCATTAGAACGCATGTGCATTGTCCTTGAATGCGAATCCTACTTTACCAATCACAGCTGATATGCGCACGAGAAGCCAAAATTCATCGTGCGATAAATACAATCTTCTGTATATGTAACAAGTTGTATACATATCATACAAAAAAATTGAAATATTACATGTAAGATTGTCTCTGTATCTAATGTTCATAGGAGTAATTTTTATTGATACAGTGCATCAAGATAAAAAGTAATAAATCATAAATGTTGAATTTAGTATTATCTTTTAATCCAACCAATATAGTGTTTTATAAAATGAATGTAAATGCATCATCAGTGTATAATACTTATGTATATATTTAATATTACAAAAAGTTGTGTATGAAAATGTATAAAAAGCTCATGTATATAAGGATAAGAAATTACCATAATTAATTAATTTCATTGTTCTTATAAATACTGCAAAAACTGGTCCATAAATATTGTAATCTATATAGAACTTTTTACAATGCTGACATTCATAATGCATGGTGGAGTGAATTGTACATACCGAATAGTATTTTTGATGTTAATATATGTAGAAGAAATGGTAACAGCAATACCAAACACAACAATTAAATAGCTAAACCAACTATTCCATCTTTGAAAATTACAATTTATCTTAAACTTTGACATTGGCTCTTCAGGAACTATTGTTTCTCTACGAACCTCAAAAGGTCTATTAGCATCTATAAATATGGGTTTTCCAATATGACTTTTGGTCATTAAAAATTGTTCACTAGTTTTTTTAATACTTGGGACATTGTCATCATAATCTAAGATCTCTTCAAATTCATCTTCCAAATCATTGTAATAAAAGTATGAATACCGATGATAATCGGTGTTAGGTACACCTAGAACACCATAGTAAACTGATCTTGAATGAATCCTGGGATCAGTTGACATGAATTCATTGCTTTGACATCTTTCTGAGTTGGAATATACTTCAGGAGTTGAAGGACGCATAGACCTCACTTTTAAAGCAATAGCTTTGGAGTATATTAATGGAGGAAGTACAAAAACTAATGGACCAGTTAAGGATCCTCCAACTAGAGCCATCACAATGTCAAACCTTGGCACAGATTCTCCTACAGCCATTCCAAGCAATACAACAGCTGATCGTAGAGCAACACGTTTCCAGCCAAAAGCTATTGCAAAAATGTTTGTGTAATAATTTATATCATTAAGTAATATGTTATAAAATTACTTCTCTGAATGTTGCATTGGTCTTCCAGATCCTGGAAGAGAGCAGAATAACCAAGGGCACTTGACAAACAAAGTTGAACAGCAGCAAATAGAATGGCAGCACTCATCAAAAAATTTCCTGGAACCATTTGAAGAACATTGGCTGCTGTATTACCTCCATACTTCCAGATGGCCAAGCTAGTGGTAATGGTAAATAAGGAACCACTGACTACAATCAATAACACCAATAATTAATGCATTAATAATAATTATTAAAGAATAATACAAATGTTTCAGTCATGCTTTTACCTAAGAAAGAAATTACAACTGCTTTATTGATGTCTTCCGGACGACGCATATCCACTTGTACTGTCATCAAAGTTGGATGTACATCAAATTGAAATGCTAGCATACCATATCTGAAGTAATTTTATAAAAAGAAAAGTACTTTACTAAAAAGCAATCAATATTATAGCTAATTGGTTTATACAGATTACCCAGAAATAAATTTATCCCAAGTGGGAGAAGTAGGTAGAGGCATGATATTTAGTTCACGGTCGTCGGTAATTATACACCACCATATTAACATTGCTGTCAGTAATACCATTGTGCAAGAAAATAAAGCCAATATTCTGTAAGTATTTGCGATCATATATCATTGCATTAAGAGCTTATAATATATAATTTAAAAAATTTTTTAGGAATTACTTCATATCGCGTGGACTACCTAGCCACATAATTGGGCACAAAAGAAGACCCACAATTAGAAGCCAATAACAAAAGGATAGATCAAATCGTTGTCCTGATATTTTTAATCCGAATAACTGCAAATTTTGAGAAGCTGAAATTGATCAACAGTGTTACATAAACATATTTAATTTATAGTTCATATTTATTTATATAAATATAAACAAATTTTAATTATAATGAGAACGTACCAACTAACAAATTAGGAATGCTGCAACCGAAAACTGTGATATCTAAAATTATAGTGACTAAAGTTTTTGCTCGAGGCCCTAACGTTAATTCTGTCACGGCAGCCAAAGGATGCCTACAAAGTGAATTTAATTAACATTTGATAAGTAAACTACAAATGAAAGCTTACCGATTTTTTCGTAAAATTTGTGGATCCAAAGAAGTTGCGATTATCCATGATTTTCCGAGAAGAACGGCCGTATAAATTTGCAAAGCTAATACAATAAGTACTAGTGGAATTCCGTATAATCCTGCAATCACAAGGCAGAATTTTGTTTTTTTTTTCAGGAATTATAATCGTCTAGAAAATGTCCTCTGTATAAACATGAATGCTTTCAGTACGCAATAGCGGAAGCAAGGATAGCTTGCGGTTCAGGTGGATTAAATAACAAAATTTTTAACAAGTTAACCAACTTTATTTTATTCAAAATGATCAACTTTCCCACACGATATCGTGTGCTCAAATATTGTTTGCAGCGATCGCTTTAAGTAATAAATGTAATAAATCAATCATATAAATCGTTTCAATTTAAATAAAATATATTATGGAATAAACGATAAAGTTACATTGTACATACAGTTAACTATATACAGTATGTTTGATTTGCATGAATATATGGAATTATCCCATAAGTAATAGAATGTATGAATCATTTAAAAATCTGTTGAATTTAAAGAATACATATTAATTTCATATAATAAATAATTATTTATTCGCGTCATGAGTTGTTTAATAATTCATAGTTAAATTTTCTTTTCACTCATTATTACAATTTACAGGATCAAATATGTCAAAGTAACACTTTATCCAAAAAGGAAAAGTTTGAACTTCAATTACTTAGAAAATAGTTCCCTATGTCCACTGTAATTAGACACACTGCATACGTATATATACATATTCGTATCCTATTTTATTTACACGTTGAATGCCATAGAAGTTATCAAAGATATTATAAATTTATCATAATTAAAAAAAAATTGTAATATTGTATGGACTTCATAAAGTATCAAATATAAAGTTGGACTTCGAAATTAAAGTTATTTTCATCTGAATTATTATAATTTATCCTGGCATTGAACGTGTCAAAATAATCTAACTAAATATAAAGTGCTCGTCACAAAATAAAGAACTTAATAAAAACTATACACGTAATCTTTTCAACGCAATTTATAAAAAAAAAGAAAGAAAGAAAATTTTCTGATAGTTTTTGTCTCACAATGATTCCTAATTAGAGTCACAAAAAGGAAGATGCGAAATTACAAAAAACTTACCGCATTGCACTATTGAGCGCGGTAATGCGATGATAGGAAAAACGCCGAAAATGTCGATAACGCACAACGTGGCGAATAAAAGCGACAGATCCGAATTAGACGAGCCTTTGAAAAGTAGCGGCAATCTCTCGTTATTCATGACGAGGAACAATTTGTACTGTTCGACATCGGTGTAGGGACCATGAACCGGTTTCCGTTTCGCAGCAGTGAATACCGCAGTAGATGTAACTCGATACTCTATTGAACGCAAACGGTTTACCCAGACACCACGAGAGAATCGAAGGAAGACCCACAACGTGTGTTTGTGCTTCCTTCTTCAAATGCACAGCCACATGCATTTCAAGAATACAACATAAACGTTGACATTTATATCAGTGATGAGCAACTCAAGTGCCTGATGAGTTTATAGACACGAATGTGTAGAACGATACGAAATCCATTTTTTCACTCCTGATAATCTGATGACAGAGACTGCAGGTTGTCATATGCTGTCACTATATTGTAGACTAAGCAAGTTTCTTTTTATACAGTTTCAAGTACATGTAGAGATCTATGGACATCTCATCTCATTTCTTAATTTTTACACTGAAGCATTTTTAACTGTGTAAAATTCTAAACCTTGTATAGATAGACTTACATCAGCACTTACATGTCTATATACCACGCCCTTGTGGACATAGTTGCCCATCACTGATATCTATTGAACAAGATTTGATTATAAATGATACATTTCTAACCTGCGTTTTTTACATTAAAGAAAATATTTCCATCTCATTCATACTCCAAACGAATTCGTTAATTACCACTTAAAAGAAAAATGTACTTCTCAAAGAGATCATTAATAACATCTCACAAAGATCGTCGCAATTGCCCATTCATTCAATCACCATCTTTTCAATAATAGTAAAAACAAATATTTTTTGATCTATGATCAATAGGTAATGACGTAAGAATTTTTATAAAAATCGTGCATAAATTTATACACTAAATATATATTTACGAACTTATAAAATCGAAGATTGTGTAGTAGTGATAATTACAACTTATCGCACTTATACCTAGCTCATTGGCATAACAGGGTAGGTCTTGGGCTGGGCCTGATCCTTCTCACACAGCGTGAGGAATAGTAGAGCGTAGGATATTCAAATCAGAGATCTGGAAATTTTCAAATTACTGAACCTCAAAATTTCCAACTTTCTAAATATTTAAACTCCCAAATCTCCAAATTCTTAAATCCTTAAATTTACATAAGTCATTTGGTCATGTCTTGGGCTGTACATAATGACATTGGTAAAACTAAGGGTCCAGGCCCATCCCAGACAGAATATCCAGTTACGCCAATGTTCATAATAAGTATTTAATAGTAAACATTCGTACACGTATGCGTAATACTTCTTAATCGTCTGTCTCGTAGGCTGGAGATGCCGGGGAATATGTGGGACTCGTTGGAGAGTATCCCGGCACCGGTGGCGAGTATGTTGGACTCGTCGGTGAATAACTCGGACTGGTTGGCGTGTATGTCGGGCTGGTAGGCGAGTATTTAGTGCTCGATGGCGAGTACTGAGGACTCGTGGGTGAATATGTTGGGCTAGTTGGCGAGTAGTTCGGACTACTCGGCGAATACCTCGTACTTCCTGATGCTGTATGTTGCGGTGAACTGGGAGAATACGAAGGACTCGTCGGCGAGTACGTTGGACTCGTTGGCGAGTAAGTTGGACTAGCTGGTGTATACTGCGGCGAGGTTCCAGCGAAGGATGGTGACGTCGGAGAATAGCTGGGACTCGTCGGAGAATATTTCGGGCTGCTCGGTGAGTAGCTTGGACTAGCAGGCGAATATTGTGGAGAACTTGGCGAGTAACTTGGACTCGTTGGAGAGTAAGACGGTGAAGCTGGCGTATAATTCGGCGAACTTGGCGAATAGCTTGGACTTGTCGGTGAATAACTCGGACTCGTTGGTGAATAGCTTGGACTCGTCGGAGAGTAGCTTGGACTCGTTGGAGAATAACTTGGACTCGTCGGTGAATAGCTTGGACTCGTTGGAGAATAACTTGGACTCGTTGGCGAGTAACTGGGACTCGTTGGTGAGTAGCTGGGACTTGTTGGCGAGTAACTTGGACTCGTTGGTGAGTAACTGGGACTCGTCGGCGAGTAGCTTGGACTCGTTGGCGAGTAGCTCGGACTCGTTGGTGAATAGCTGGGACTCGTTGGTGAGTAGCTTGGACTCGTTGGAGAATAACTTGGACTCGTCGGCGAGTAGTTTGGACTGGTGGGTGAGTAAGTTGGACTGGTAGGCGAGTAATTAGGACTTGACGGTGTGATGCTCGGTGAAGTTGGCAAATATGCAGGTGATGTAGGTGAATAACTCGGGGAAGCACCTCCTGCTGGTGACATTGGGTATGGACTCATACTGGGTCCAGGACTGCCAGGACTTCCAGGTTGCGGTGAATATGCAGAATATGCAGGTGAAAGTCCTGAAGCATCCGACGCTCCAGATGGCGAGAAACATGCACCTCCTGGCGTCATACCACTTCCTAATGCTGCAAAAGAATTACAGGATTGTTTATCATCAATGAATTACAATAATAAATTTTAATATTATCGAAAATGTACCTGGAGACATGCTTGAAGCTCCGTAACCTGGAGTAGCACCCATCCAGGGAGTCATTTGCGGACTCATGCTTGGAGTTGCGACACTGCCAAAGAACATTCCAGCAGTTCCCATTACGCCAGCCCCTACTGCCATCGGTATTTCAATACCAGCTTTACACTTTTCAGCATCCAGTAGTAAATCGAAACATCCTGAATAAATAACATTAAATTTTCAGTTAATTGGATTACTAGAATTTGTTTACCCAAATCAAGTATCAGTTTTAAAACAATACCTGTTCCTATCCTTGGAAGTTGTCCCATAATAATGTTTTCAGATACTCCTCTCATTGGATCCACCTCTGCGTGAGAGGCTGCATCCAATAAGACATCCACTGTTTCTTCAAAGGAACATCTGAAATAAAACGTAGAATATGATATTGAATTGTCTATCATATTATATAAAATATACGTACGTATATGTATATAGAGAGTAAAAGTCATAGCATAAAGAAATTCATCTGTATGTATAGATACTATTTATATATGATTGCTCATATGTTTAGTAGAATATGTAAATTGCGTCACACTGATCTTTACCGTCTTATATTAATATTTTATAATATTTACCTCATAAGTGCACCGGTGTCTTGTCTATTAATACCGTGACGGGTTATAGCCATCAAGTGACCTTTAGCTGTCATGACATCACAAAGCAAAGCAAGATGGCGATAATTTACGTAAAGTCCATAAAACTGCAAAACAGCATTCATTTCTTTTTCCACGGATTTCCTGACAGCTTCTATTCCAAGGACTTGGAAAATTTCACAGATATCGTTACTGAATGTCCTGACAGGATCAACGTCCCTTTCGCTCAATACTTTCATTAAACTTGTTCCATCTGTTTCCAATAACCATTCAGCTATTGCTTTAAATTCACCAGTTTCTGTGATCACGATACGTTTCTTGGAGTCAGTTTGGGGTAAGTGCATATAAACTTTTCCTATTGCTTCGATACCCTGTGGAAACAATTGTTCGAGTAAATTTTTTAATTAGAATGATTTAATTAAATTAATCAAAACATACCTGTAATGTCATGTCACTGAGCATATTTGCTTCTATACACCGAAGGAACATATCATCTTCCATTTTATCTACAGTCTCTTCTTCGGTATCTTGGAACTTGTTATCATCGCTGTTCATTATTCTAATTCGTAGGACTAGTTTCTCAGCGTTGTCATCATTAAAAATACAATTTAGATCGTCTCCAAAGCCAGCGTTAATTTTTTCCGCAATTTGTTCCATAGTTAACTTTTTATCGGTCATTCTCTTTCTGTCTAATTCGATACGAAGTAACCATGGCGATATTTTGGTAGGATCAAAGTCAGGCATTTCATAGTAGACATTAACGAATTCCTGATCCTCTGCGATCACAGTATTTTGTGGATCTGGATCATAATAAATCGCAGTGTTTGCCGTAACTTTTCTTAACGTTGTGTGTTCCAATCGACAAAGTACATTCTTCGCTTTCTCAGCATCTCTTGCTGCAGCTCCCGTCAAGAACACTGTTAACGATGGAGCTTTTGGTTTCTTACTAATGTTTATAATTTCTTTTAGCCTGGGTACACCAAGAGTTACGTTCTTTGATGATACACCAGCAAAGTGGAAAGTGTTCAATGTCATCTGGGTTGCAGGTTCACCAAGTGACTGTGCAGCTAAAGCACCAACCATTTCACCTGGCGATACCTAAACATTATAAAATTAATAAGGAACACATCTATGACAGTTTTATATCTAAAATATTATGTGTATAATCTGTACAAACCTGTGCTTGTTGGAATCTAGTTTCAATTTCACCGATAAGCCATTCAAAAGCTTCGCTGGATAATCGGAACTCTTCAGAAACACACTTTGTGCATAGAGTAGATCTTACTAAACATTGGAATAATAATGTGGCGTTTTCGTTTGCCTGTTTACTAAGTCTGTCATCGCCAGCCACAATAATACATTTGTCCAAAAGATCTTTCACGCCTGTAAATAAAAATGATTTAGTTAATAATATTAAACATATCAGCTGTGAATTCTTTTGATCAAATTTTAATTACCTTGAATGACTCTCATAGGACTAAGATCCGTAGGTGCCCGTTTGTTGATATGGAATATTTTCTGCACATTCCAAATCATTCTTTGAAGATTACAAGGCAATACAACTTTTGATTCTCCACTAGGGAATATTTCTCTAAGTATAGCACGATCCTTATTCAACTGCTCCCATTCCCTTTCCAGTTCAGATATTACTTCACCGGATCCCATCATTTCTCTAACAATATCTTCATTGAAAATACGACGAAGGTACCGTTCATTGGTTGGGTCAAATTTAAACTTCTTCTCAAACGCTTTATTGCTCAATTTTATAGTAGGTAGATTTTGGAACTCGACAGTTTCACCGCACAAACCGTCTTCACCATAACGCAACTGAATAAGTTGACCTACAGAGTTCCTAACAGTGCCATCGTAATGTACCATTACAGACTCCATAGCCTTTATCAAACGACGCTGAATGTATCCAGTTTCTGCAGTCTTTACAGCAGTATCGATAAGACCTTCACGACCTCCCATGGCGTGGAAATAAAATTCAGACGGTGTCAAACCGGCAAGATACGAGTTCTCGACGAATCCTCTAGACTCAGGACCGTAATCATCCTTGATGAAATGTGGCAACGTTCTTTTACGGAAACCAAAAGGAATTCGTTTACCTTCAACGTTCTGCTGACCTACACAAGCAATAACTTGAGAAATATTAATGTTGGATCCTTTTGATCCCGATACCACCATAGCCTTCAGATTATTGTATTCAGTCAAAGATTTCTTTGCAGAGCCACCAGTTTTGTCACGAGCGTCGTTCAAAATTCTGTTTACTTGATTTTCGAATGTTTGCCTCAAGGTGTTACCAGGCGTAGGTTCCAGCTCCATATTGTGAGCTTTCTGGATAACCTCTATCACGTCTTCTTTAGCTTTCTTAATTGCTTTCTGGATTTCTAAATATGTTTGAGGATCAGCAATTGTGTCTCCAATACCAATAGAGTGACCTTCCAGTAGTAACCAGTTGTTGATCACTGTCTGAATGTTTCCATAAAACCGACCACAGACTTCGTGTCCCAACTCCAGCATACAAATGTGAAGCAGAGATCCAGCAGATGTACCCAGAGTTTTCTTACAAAGTATTCCCATAACAAGCTCTCCGTGTTCTACCATGACTTTAGTATCACCAGGAGAAATCCATTTGTACGGACCATCATCCTCTTCATCAGGATGTGTACTGTGAGTTCTTATCATATTTACATTACCTGGTATGATTAAGGAAAAGATTTGTTTACCAGTCCACAAAGGCTTTGGTTTTAATATACATGGTTGAGGCATTTTTCCATCCCAACTGGGCAAGAACATGAGAATATTCATCATTTGTTCTTTTTCGATAAAAACGTCCCTTTTGGTCATTTTTCTTACAGCAGTTAATGTGTCTTGTACAATACCCATAACTGGCTTATTAGCCTGCGGTGTGATAATTTGACGTGGGGTCACGTGAATGTTTTCTACTTCTGCACGAGTTTCCATCGACTGCGGTACGTGTAAATTCATTTCATCTCCGTCAAAATCAGCGTTATAAGGTGACGTGCAACTTAGATTCATACGGAATGTACTCCATGGTAAAACTTTTACTCTGTGACCCATCATACTCATTTTATGCAGAGTCGGTTGACGATTGAAGATTACTAAATCACCATCTCGAATGTGACGTTCTACTCTGTAACCACACTGTAAATGCAGATCGGATGGTTTTGGATGGAATCTCAAATCGATTCTTTCTCCATTATCTCTCACAATATACTTGGCTCCTGGATACTGTGAATTCCCACGTCTGACGAGTTCTTGCATTTTATCAATGTTAAAGGGGGTCACAATTTCAGGAAATGTTAAATTCTGGGCAATACTTCTAGGCACACCTACTTGATCAATTCGTAAATTGGGATCTGGTGTAATGACAGTACGAGCAGAAAAGTCGACACGTTTACCCATCAAGTTTCCTCTTATTCTTCCTTCTTTTCCTTTCAGTCTTGCTTTTATAGCTTTTAAAGGTTTACCTGATTTCTGCATTGCCCTTGGCATGCCAGGCATATCATTGTCAACTAGAGTAGCTACATGAAACTGTAACATTTTTATGTTTTCTGATATTACATGTGCTGCAGCTCCAGCTTGTTCGTTTCTGATTAATTCATTATTTGCTTTAATGATGTCTGCTAGTTTATGTGTTAAGTCATCTTGATTTTTGGCTGAACCATACATAATAACTGCTGGTCTAACTGACAAAGGTGGGACAGGTAAAACTGTGACCACCATCCAATCTGGTCTTGCAAATTTTGGATCCATACCAAGGATGAATGATTCTTCATCTGTAATATGCTTCAAAATTTCCCATGCTCTTTCTGCAGTCAGTGCTATCTTCTTTTCTTGGGAATCTTCATTTACATGTTTCCATTCTGCTGTAACATCTAAACCTGATCTCTGAAGATTTGGTTGATATCTACCACAACCACCATGCCCTGGTTTTCTATCTGTATTTTGTTGATCTTGGTTCTCTTTGTTAATATCCATTTCATCACCACCTTCACAAATATTTTTACTCTTACATAAATCATAAACAAATGTGAGGCGTTTACGTGGTTGACCTTTAGTTTTCATTACAATTTCCTTAATTTTTGGATTATGCTGCAATTAAAAATATATTTAAAAGAAGTTATTTAAATGATAAAAACATTTAGTCATTAATTATTTTTACTTACTGGGCCAACAAGAAGTTTTGAGCAATAAAAACAAACACATCTTAAAATCTTTATAGTTTTTGTTATAAAACCAACATGAAAAACTGGTTTGGCCAAATCTATATGGCCAAAGTGTCCTGGACACTCTGTCATATTTCCTGCACATGTTTGACATCTGGAGTTTCTATCTATGACACCTTGTCTTGGGTCCATAAGTCCACCAAGCTTTGGGCGACCGCCTTCCATAGTTTCTGGAAAGCGAATGCCGCCATCTGTGACTGACATCCGACGCTATATAAAACATCAATCAATTTTATAACATGTAATAACCTAAAATAATAAAATTATAATAAACTGTATCAAATTATTGCTTTCGGGAAACAAATAACATTAGATTATCTATAAAAATGTTTTAATATTCAAGGTTTTATTTTGAATTATTTTGGACAAATCACATGTTGGTAAATTTACAGTTATAAGGAGCAGCAAGGCAGTAAAAATAAGTAAGAGAATGAAACAACTATATTTGTCGTCACTGTCCAACACATTTTTTATTATAAAAATTGTATGTTAACTGTACATATTGGATTTGATCTTTTTCATTTTTAACATTATAATAATAATAGAAAAAGATTTTCAGGTTCATCAGACCTATATTAAAGTTTCAATTATAATTTTTTAATAAAAGATAAATTAATCGCATCACAGATGACATTTATATTAAACATTAACAATCGTCTCATATTTCTTATTGCACGTATCTTATATTTTTGTGCAATTAGTGATAAATACAATCATGTATTATGGAAAATCAACACGCGCGGCTGTTTGGGAAATAACATCGAGTACACTCGCGGTACGATTTCATAAAATGTCGACTCATGATGAAACAGTTGCGTATGCCTCAAAAATTATATATTTCATAAGATCACTCGTTTACAAACAACGAACTTACTATTTCATCGGGTGAAAGAATACCAAATTGGACCCTTTTCACGGTTCGCAAAGGCGCTTTGGAGTCGGACGTGGCCATTTTGCAACGATCACGTACTGCTTCTCCCGCGGCCTTCTGCGTCGCGACTCCCTCTAACCGTTCTTTCCCGATGGAAGCATCACCCTTCCCTAACAATTCGCCTGCTGCCGCCTTCTTTCATATCAGTATACGTGTTCCTAAATCAATCGAATTCAGACCATCAGAAGGATTTTCATGTATCATTTGCTTAATGAGAAATCATACTGCATAAAATGTTCACTCGTGTTTGCCATCTGACGCCATGAATGACAATGTATGCTTGTGTTATTGAATGATTTTAATTATAACTTAGTGTCATTTTATGAGTTTTATTGTGAATGAATAGGGTTTACAGAATAAAATAACTTAATATGGCTACTTCAAAAACAACAAACACATATAATAGACAAAATTGGGAAGATGCTGTAAGTAAAATTGAAATTTTAATAAGATTACAAATTTACTAGAGTAACATGTTTATGCAAAACACCACCATTCTGTTTTAGGAATTCCCAATATTATGTCAAACTTGTTTAGGTGACAATCCGTATATTCGAATGGTATGTTAATTCTATGAATACTTGTCTTATCTAAACAATGCGTTCATTATTTATAACAGTAAAATTTATATATTAACTATTTTACAGACAAAAGAAAAATATGGGAAAGAGTGCAAAATATGCATGCGCCCATTTACAGTATTTAGGTGGTGTCCTGGTGCAAGAATGCGATTCAAGAAAACAGAAGTTTGTCAAACTTGTAGTCGGTTAAAAAATGTATGTCAAACATGTTTACTTGATTTAGAATACGGATTACCTATTCAAGTACGCGATGCAGCACTGAAAATTAAGGATGATTTACCTAGATCAGATGTAAATAAGGAATACTATGTGCAAAACATAGATAGCGAAATTGGCAAAATAGATCCTACATCACCAGCAGGGGCTGTTGGTAAATCTGCTGCAGCCAGTGATTTATTGATGAAGTTAGCAAGAACAAGTCCATATTACAAACGAAATAGACCCCACATTTGTTCCTTCTGGGTTAAAGGAGAATGTAAAAGAGGAGAAGAGTGCCCATATCGTCATGAGAAACCTACTGATCCTGATGATCCATTAGCTGATCAAAACATTAAAGATCGTTACTATGGAGTAAATGATCCTGTTGCTGATAAACTAATGCGTAGAGCTGCAGCAATGCCTAAATTAGATCCACCAGAAGACAAATCCATTACCACTTTATACATTGGCAATTTGGGAGATGTTTTAACGGAAAAGCAATTACGTGATCACTTCTATCAGTATGGAGAAATTCGTTCAATAACTATGGTTCCTCGCCAACAGTGTGCCTTTATTCAGTACACACAAAGAAGTGCTGCAGAAGCAGCAGCAGAGAGAACATTTAACAAGCTGATATTAGGAGGAAGAAGGCTAACTATTAAATGGGGTCGTTCACAAGGAAGACAAACCGTTTCTGCAGCAGAAGCAACTAGAGAAATTTTAGAACCTGTACCAGGTTTACCTGGTGCTTTACCGCCACCGCCAGAAAGTATGGGAAATAATTTTTTCAATCTACAAACTACTCCTGGCATGATGCCACCAATGATGATTCCACCTCCCCCAGTTGCCCCTCAGTTTATGTTCCCACCTCAAATGGCAGCTGCTGCTGCTGCAACACCAATTTTCCCTCCAGGAACTACTCCAATACATTATCCAAGTCAAGATCCATCAAGAATGGGAGCATCTCAAGGCATAGGAAAGCCTTGGCCCGAAGAATAATAGTGAAAATATTGAAATTTTTAAACATAATTATGACAAAAAACATCTGTAAAAATAAATATATATCTTTGACTTTCTTTAAAGTAGGCATGATCAAGTGTTAATTAACAAAATACATGTCCAAATTTTTAATTTCCAAATCCCAAATTTCAAAATTTCCCGCGAGTTCCTAAGTTTCCAAATTCCTAGTTTGGATTATAGTTTCTTACACCTAAGTTTAGCCTACATATGTAACGCAAAAAATTTTTTAATTTCAATGTTTCATGTTTGTTTATTCTACATAAATAAATAATTGCCAATTTCAATGAAAACTTTAGAAAATTAGCGACGAAGGCACCATCTGCCGTTATAGCAGATGAACATTGCTCGAAGTAAACGGGTTTAGCGGTTATTGTGAGTGTCATCATCATACTTTATTACGTGTCCACTGATTTCTGATCCGTCCGGTGTTTCTGCTACGTTGATTGTATTTTGCGAATCTATGGAATGTTTGGATTACCAGATATCTTTGAATTCCTGTTTGTATTAGCATAAGGCGCCTAGTGCGCCTCCCGTCACGATGAACATGTGTCGGGTTCGACTATTATTCTACTTTTTGGCTTTTAGCCTACTCCCTTTTGCCTATCCTGACGAGCATAATCACATTGTAAGTATTCCGAATTGTCACATGGTTGAAATATTAAAATTGTCATTTTATTTTATACTTATTGTTGTTAATTTTACAACAAACTTCACTCATTTTTTCCGTTATCTCTCCGCGGAGACTTGACACGTAACATGTACACGTTACGTTCGTACATTTGATTTATTTCTGGATATAGAACATTTTCAATTATTCTTTTATTTAAAATATTAGTGGAAAACATATTCGAAGATATAGATACAGTTTTATTATATTTTTTAAGAATGGGTCATTAACACTTTGTATTTTACTAGTATGAAGATAATGATGAAGTTGTACTATGGATGAGTACAGTTGGACCATATCACAATCGTCAAGAAACCTATTCGTATTATTCGTTACCATTTTGCATGGGCACAAAGGATGTCATTAATCATTACCATGAAACGTTTTCTGAAGCATTACAAGGCATTGAACTTAAGTTTAGTGGTTTGGAAATTGAATACAAAGGTACTTTATATTTTTATTAATTAACTCATTTAGCTTCGCAAAACTTTCTGTAAGTAACTGCTTCTAAAATATACAAACTTGTTTTTGCATTGGCTAACAAGTTAAATGTTTTCACAGTATCAAATAGCATATTATCCATGCTTTATTTTTTCTCTTTAACAATTGAAAAATGAATGGATTTATATTAGATGTTGTTGAATGTTATAGCTGATGTTGCAAAAGTGGAATATTGTCAGATAAAACTAACTGAAGAAAGTGAGAAAGCTTTTATATATGCAGTTAAGAATCAATATTGGTATAAGATGTATATGGATGATTTACCAATATGGGGCAAGTGCCAATCTATTGTTTTCTTTAATACCTTAGTACATTGTTATTGTATCCATTAATTTGTATGTACTCTTTAGGAGTCGTGGGAGACATAGAAGAAAATAATGTAGCTGTTTCTTATTATATTTGGACACACAAGAAATTTGATATAGGATATAATGGAAAACAGATAGTTGACGTAAATTTAACCAGTGAAAATAAGGTGAAATTAGTCCAAGGAGCAGCCATTTCTTTCAGTTATGAAGTTAATTGGAGAAAGAGTAATATTAAATTTGAAGATAGATTTGATAAATATTTAGATCCCAACTTTTTCCAGCATAGAGTAAGTACTGTATTATTTAAAGAATTTGAATTATTCATTCTGGGCCTTTTTATTAACAATCATTTTTATGTGTTACATAGATTCATTGGTTCAGCATCTTTAATAGTTTTATGATGGTAATTTTTCTTGTTGGACTTGTCTCGATGATTTTGATGCGTACTTTGAGAAAGGATTATGCTAGATACAGCAGAGATGAAGAAATGGATGATATGGAACGTGATTTAGGGGATGAATATGGATGGAAACAAGTTCATGGGGATGTATTTAGGCCAGCTAGTCATGCAATGCTTTTTTCAGCTCTTATAGGCGCAGGTTATCAGGTAGTTAATTAAGTTGTGAAACCTTTATCTATATTTAAAAATTGTTATATACTTAATAAACATTTATAAATGATTTTATATTAGGTGACAGTGGTTGTTCTCAGTGTCATCATTTTTGCTATTCTTGGAGAGCTTTATACAGAAAGAGGATCCATGTTATCAACAGCAATTTTTGTATATGCTGCTACATCACCTATAAATGGTTATGCTGGTGGAGGTTTATATGCACGAATGGGCGGACGCATTTGGATTAAACAAATGATTCTTAGTGCCTTTATGTTACCTATTATTGTTTGCGGCACTGCATTTTTCATTAATTTTATTGCAATGTATTACCATGCTAGCCGTGCTATACCATTTGGTTCTATGGTAATTTCCGATTTAATAATTTAGTTATATGTACACTGGTTTTAATATAGTAACAAATGTATTTTGCTTTTAGGTGGCAGTCACTTGTATTTGCATATTTGTTATATTGCCATTAACGTTAGTTGGAACCATTTTAGGCCGCAATTTAGCCGGAACACCGGACGCACCATGTAGAGTCAACGCAGTACCTCGACCTATTCCCGAAAAAAAATGGTTTATGGAACCATTAGTTATTATAATGCTTGGTGGTATCCTGCCTTTTGGATCAATATTCATCGAAATGTAAGTATTGTTACTAAGTAAAATTTATTTTCGCAAAAATTGTTATAAATAACAAATTGTTATAAATAACAAATTGTTATATTGTCAGGTACTTCATTTTTACCTCATTTTGGGCATACAAAATTTACTATGTGTACGGATTTATGTTATTAGTATTCGTTATTCTAATGATAGTAACTGTTTGCGTTACTATCGTGTGTACATACTTCCTGCTAAACGCCGAAGACTATCGATGGTGAGAATTTTATATTAGTCCATTATACTCAAGTATTGTTAAATTATATTCGTTTAATTAATTTATATCTATATTTTACAGGCAGTGGACAAGTTTCTTAGCGGCAGCTTCAACTGCTGCCTACGTCTATATATATTCCTTTTATTATTTCTTCTTTAAAACGAAGTATGTTTTTAATCTATTACTTAATTTCGTAAAGTCGAAATTTTTGTAGAAAATAACCTTATTATATATTTTTCAGAATGTACGGTCTTTTCCAGACAGCATTTTACTTTGGATACATGGCATTGTTCAGCCTTGCTTTGGGTATAATGTGTGGAACAGTCGGTTATGTTGGAACTAACGCGTTTGTACGAAAGATCTATTCCACCGTCAAAATAGACTAAAGCACAATTTTAGTGTAATGTCTACACCGTGGATTAAAGTAAGAACATTCAAAGTGATATCCACTGGTCTTCGTGAAGTACAGTTTGATCATTCTGATAGTTTAAATTATTTGCCTTTATCATAATGCGCAAATGCAGCTTGTAAAAAACTTCCTAAATTAACATCGATCAGTTATTGCTATCAATAACGTGAATACTTAATATTATGAGTTTCGAAACTTTCCAACAAATGTTTTATTATTATATATATTATTGTAATGTCGCAATAACATTTTCATTTTAAGTAAGAGATTGATTTATCTGCGGCAGTTGAATTTTTGAAGTGGGGTCCTATGACGGACAGTATACATTTATTTATATGTACTGTTCGTGTACTATTTCTCTAGAGTCACAGTTCCATATTACTTGAAATGCAAACTCCAATGAGAGTAACTTTAAAATTACTATTTTACTCGTAACAACTGACTATGTAATGTTGCTCAATTTCACTAAATTTTGCTAGAAACTCGCAGATCTTATTTTAATTTTCCAGCTTACAGATGAAAGGATTATAACAACTTCTGTAAGTTAAGTAACTATTTTGAAAACGTTACCTCATAAAACATTTGTTGTGATTCTTGTGCATCGTACAAATATATGCCAGAAATTTCTTTTAAAACGTACATTAATGATGATAAATATCTAAATTTTGTATCAAAATATAAACATTGTAAAACATTAGATAATATCATTGATTGCAATTTCATAAGTATAAGCCAAAATTGGAGAAACAGAAAAGAATGCAAATTATTACATGTAAGTTGTACAGTATAAATTTTCAATACAGTTTATGCTAAATGTACACAATGTTTCAGTTAACACAGAGTATTGTTTTAACTACGTGACTCTGAATTAAAATGTTGTTCAGACAGATTATCAACGATTCAATTAACGTTAATTTACATTTAGATAAAGTAGTTGATACAGTAAATTGTGAACATAAGAAATTTTTTTATCAAGGACTTCATACCATGTATCACAATATTTTGTTTGTGTGAATATCCTTTACTATAAATTGTGAATATATTGATAATATGTAAAGTATCGTAAGTATAGAATTGGAGATAAATGATCTTTTTAATCGCGATCCTCCATAAACAGCAAAATATCCATGTATCTTATCGCTGTTCAAAAAAAAACAACAAAACAAAGGGGATTGGCATTTGAAAATCACAGCAAAAGTATTTGACCTAATGATATATTGTCAAAAATCAAGTATTAGTGAGGACATTTGAGTGAATATATGATTTATTGTTAGACGTAGTAATTCTAAGAAATATAAAATTTCTACATATAACAAATTCAATGTATTTTATTAATACGATAGCCTCATTGCCAGTTTTTATATTTCAACATATTCTTATCTTTATTTCATAGTTTCACGTGACCTAACTATTGTACAATAAAAATTCTATATTTTTATTTTTGTATAACGAAAATATATACAGATAAAATAACAAAACGTACTCGTATTTTGAAAAAGTATATCGTTTTTTATACGTTCGTGGAAGATGTTGAATTAATGGTATATTTTTTAAAACATAACTATTATGTTAGATTCAATAAAGAGTAAGGTATTATATCCATTATTGCCCAAATCAAAATATTACAAAATTCCATAAAAGAATGTTGTAGTATTCGTTCCATGACAAATTCTGCTTAATTAGACTTGCTGTATTTATTTTTGTATTTGCTTTTTTGATTATATGCAGGGTACAAATAATATACGAATATCAGAAATAGCCATGGACCTAGGAATATATTAGTAATCTATAATGTGGAGTTTGTATTCGTAACACAGTGGTGACAGCAAATTTATAATTCAACATTTAAGTTTTAAAATAACTTTCATATAATAAATATATGTATATAAATAAAATGTAAATTTGGTAAATGTGTTTAACAAAATTTTATTTTTAAATTGACTAGTTGATTATTTTAATTCAATCAAAGAATATAATTTGCAAAAAATATTTGAATTATATTTCAAATTGTTCGCGGGTTTCTTTGTTTCTGATTTGTCTAGATATTCAATGAATGAACCGACAAAAAAAATCAAATTTGTCCTAAGTAATATGGCCTCCTCATATAACCAACTCTATGCGCGTACGTGTCCTAAGTCCATGTGTCTAATATAGACAAAGCATACAAAATAAAAGACTACTGGGTTTGCATCCTTATTTTTGGTTACGAAGAATATACGAACCAATAAGAGCTGACATGCGCAGAATAAACAACGCTCGTCGTTTAATAAGTATAATATTCCGCGAAAGAAATAATAGTTGCCCAATTGACTTTAGCGGTGCCAGTGTGGCACTAAAAGTTGTTTCGTCGTACGCTCGGAGGTATTCACGTGTCAAAGCGCACACGTCGATGCACTCCGTGGGGTGAAGTGAGCTGTCACACCTGTTCATTACTCCAAAGACTACATATTGAATCGAACGTATAGTGACTGAATAGTGTTTCGTTCATTATTCCTTTATTTCAAGTTTTATTGCGATACTTTTGATAAAGGAAAAGCAGCAGAAATGGCACCAAAACAAAGAATGCGCATCGCTAATGAAAGAGCCACAAAAAACATTACACTTCGTGGGAATGTTCCAAAATCATCGGTATGTTGTTTATTTTCATATTAACTAAGTGTTATTTAAATAATTTTTAATAGAATGAAATAAATCATGTAAACATTATTTAACAATAAATGATTCCCAATTTTTAATTTATATTAAAAGTCATATATCAGAGATGTAACAAATTTTGATTATATACAGAGACTTATGGTAATTTCCAGCATATTATATTTTTAGTTTTATGCTTATATATGTTTATTATACATTAATAGAACCATTATTAAATCTTTCATAAATATTTATGGTTGAAAGGTAATGTAAACTTCAGTATAGTAAAATAATGTTTCTACCATATGCAATATTATCTTTTCATTATAAACATATGTAACAACTTTAGATTGATTTACTCAATGTTTTAAAATGATTTGTCGCTTTTATCATCAATCATTTCTGTCTTAACAATTTTATTACATATGTAAATGCATTATAGAAACCACAAGATGATGGATCTCCAATCGGACCATGTTTGCTAGCACTTTTCTTGTTTGTCGTATGTGGATCTGGTAAGTTTGAACATAACATTTAGAAATCATTCAACCAATGAAATATCAATTGATGTCTATCTAAAATAATACCTTTTTAATTTTCAGCCGTATTTCAAATAATTCAGAGTATTAGAATGGCATAAGGAAATTATCAAATGAGAAGTCAAGAAATGTTGCTGTTACTGTTAATACAAAAATATGTCTATACTTTATTGGTATACAAACGAGATTAACAGACTGTTTTATTGCATAAAAATATTGGCGCTGTAAGATTATTAATGCAAATTTGAATTCAAATTTCCACAGAATATCTTTTTTTATTTGCTATGTTTCAAGAGGATTATTTATAAAAATTTAGCATTTATAAACATTTCATTGAATTGTAGTATATATCGATGAAAGAAAATTGCGTTTAATATATTTTATTTAGAACTTATAAACAAATTATTAGATATTTAATATGATTTTTTAAAGATCTCTATTGCATTGCTTCCTGTAACAGTGACTTTTACTCCTGATTCCATAAGATAGGTAAATTCTTTCATCGATATATACTTAGTAAATAATTGTATATATACATAATCAATTTATTGTATCGATTTATTAATCAAAGCATTCCACTGTAAGCAGTTGGTAGCTTTTGGTTGTCTATATATTTTAGAGGCCTTAAGAATATAAGTCATTAAATATGTAAAAAAATATATATATTGTCAGTGTAATTTATCCTAATGAAATATTTGCTACAGACAATTCTTTGTCTCTTTTAATAAATTATGTCATAAACATTTAATTGTATTACTTTTATTAAACCCTTTACTAAATATATATCCTATTATATTTTCTTAAAATATATAATATTAAAAATAAAATATATAGAGAGAATAAAGATAATGTAGCAATTAATTTGCTTCTAAAAAGTTGAAGAAAACTGTAAGTTATGGAAGAAAATGTGATGAATACGTAAATCGGACGATTGGCGCTGTTAACAGCATTTGTGGCGGTCTTTTTAAAAGATCGTTTCTATTTGTACTTGTGGACAAATGATTAATGTTGGCAACCGTGGAGATTTTAGTGATTTCTATTGGCATAACCAAACAGTGAGAACAGTGTGTTGTTATTCAAATCAAACGGAAAATTGTTACACGCTAAACAAAGAAATAATTTTTCAAAGATCTATATTAAATTATTTTATTATTACATATCGAATAAGTATTTAATAGTTTAAGACCGTCTTTTTATCAAAGGATTATTAAAATGGCTGGTATATTCAATTTATTTGGAGAATCAAATCTCAATAAAGGTATGAATAACAATTTCTGTAGGTTACCTATCTTTTTTGCTAACTTTTTATTTTCCTATACGTAAGAAAAATAGAGTTTAATTAATTGTTTTTACAGGCCAAGTTGTGAAACCTTTGGTAAGATCTAAAACAACCATTGGAGCAAGTGAAACTCCTGTAAAAACTGTTCTTTCATCAAAGCAAAAAGGATTATCCATTAGAACCAATTCAAATTCAAATATATCAACTGTTGGACACTTAACTAACTTAAACCAAGATGTACCTAATAAGCCACAAGAGTATTTGAAACCAAAACTTACTCAATTAGACATTGGTGGTCGTCCAATATCACCTGGGAAAGATTTAGTATGCATAGTACAAATAATTAAAAGTTTTCTACAAATAATATGGAGAAGGTAATCTTGAGATTTTTTTACAGAAAGCAGATGAATATTCAACCAAATCTCTGAAAAAAGTACCTGACAAAAAAAATACACAAAAGCTTTCAGATAAAACTATTTTTTTAAAGCCAGCTTTACCAAAAAACTATACAAAGAAAAGATATCCTGAACCTGAAAGTTTAGCACCATATTGTGATATGCAATTTGAGTTTGGTATGAATCCTCAAACATATTAAACATATTTGTGCAGAAGAAGATTTATATTATCAATGTAAATGTATAAAATATATGAAATCTATTTTTACAGATGATATTTATTCCAAAACCATAGAAAATGAATTTAAGGAACTGCTTCTGAAGAAGAGGGATGAGGTGTTGCCATATAATGACAGTTTTGAAACAGGTATTAAATTTTGGATAGAAATTTATTTCATTAATATAATGTATAAGTATTTGATATTTTAAACTTTTTACTTAGATCCAGAAGAAATTGAATATGAAATGCCAACATTATATGTATCACCTATATCATTCGATACAGAATGGAGACAATTCAAGATTCCTAGTTTACCAGAAATATCTGATAATGAGGACTATTTTTAATATTTATTCTACAGTAATTACTTTATGAAATATTATTTTTTTAATTTATTTAGTAATAATAATTTCTGAATAATATAATCAGAAATATCTTGTTAAGTGGATTTGTTTATTATAAAATATTATAATCATAAATTAAAAGGAAAGTAGCTAATAATTTAATAGTATTATTTTCATGTATCATGCTTTTGTAAGATGTAAATAAACAATTTTTTATAGCAATTGTGATTGGTAGTAATAAATTATAAAATTCTTAAGAATTGCATATGATAAATAACTATTAACAAACGTGAATTTAACTCAAGATTTTTCAATTGTTAATGGCGTGTATAAAATGTCACCAAGTAAATGTACCACTGTAATAGCTGGTATTTTAGAAGATCGTACTTTTAATCATATATGCTTCATTGCTGAAAGTTTATCCACTCTGTTACCGAATTTTTATTATAAATGCATTTACAAAAGTTCATCAGAATGGGAAGTAAGTTCAGTTCATTTTATTTATAAATGGGTTTTATGTATAATCGTTGTTCTAGTGTTGGTTACAAAAAATTTGTGCACTTTACAACTGGTCTCATAGCAAATCTCCTTTAATATGGAGAGAAATTGGAATTACTCATTGCACTGTAAATTATATTGGAGGTAGCTATCAGTTCTGGGAATTATTGAATCAATATTATAACATCAAATCGTATTTAAATGATGATGAGCTTGATGCACTACAAGCAGATTTATCAGTTGTAAGTCATTTTACATATCATAAGTATATTAAGTATATTGAGTGAATAGTAGGGATAGTAAAATAATACAGTGCTGGACAAAAATTATTCATGTAGGTTTATGATGTAAAACTGCAACAACGTAAATGTTTATGTACACCAGAAGAGTGTCATCAAATAACAATAATAGGAGCAGGAACATCAGTATGTCCAGATTTGGTTTGCCAGTTATTAATGACAAAAGAACTTTGGTGGACACATGGAATTATTATTAATTTATATGACGAGCCAGGATGTTTTTTTAAACTTAAAAAAATACATAGAGATGCACGAGCAGTGGGTTCAGGTTTAAATAGAGTGACTGTTTTAGACAATGTACCTGATGGATTAAAAGATTGTAATATATTGATATACCTTGATTCTTTTTTAAGGTAAATAAAGAAATTAAATATTTCAATTAGATCCTTCAGTGAAACTAGTGCCATATAGTGAGACTCTACTGTATCACTTCCTTTCATTTTCATGTACAATAGCTTGATAAAATTCTATTTATCTTATAGGGAAGAACATGAGGGTACAGATGAATTATTGCAAAGAAATTATAAATACATAGAAGGATTGTGTATACAAATAAATGAATATGCACCCCCTTCCATGAAAGTAATTTTCTGCTCACCGGGTTTTACATGTTTTTATGTTAATATCGTACATAAATTAGTTACAAAATTACCAAGTACAAATATTGTAGCTGTTAGTTCTCATTACGGTTTAGAACTCATATATCCATTGGTACATTCATTAGGATACACTTTAAAAAACTTCGGATGTCCACCTGTATGGGGCTATTTGGGTTTGTTTTTACATTAAAACAATTTAATACCCCTTAATAAATTTCTTAATATACATATTAATTAATTCAATTCAACTATAGGAATCAACTACTTTGTAGATGTTGATCGCATGATTCAAAAAGTTCAAACTCCACAGCATGCAGAATTAAGATGGTTCTTCTATATGTCACATAATAAAAAGCCTTACAAAGAAAATCTTAAACGGAAGGTACATATTTCATCAATCTTCTATGTGTAACATAGAAGTATTCAAGTTTCTGTGTATGCACAGGCACTTGCACAGTATCAATTAGGTAGATCGGAAGATTTTCAAAAATGCAGAGCAATTTGCGATCTTTTAAAACTATGGTATAGCAAGAAAGAAAATATTGGAGACGAGATTATATCATTAGGAATTGCATCTGATGGTGACTACAACATTAGGAATATAAATATGAACAGAATTATTACATTTTCCTTTTATTATAGGATCTTTCGGTATTCCAAAGGGACTCGTATTCTCACAACCAGTACATTTAAAAGTATTAGAAGATAATTCACGAATATGGATCCCTTTTAAAGATTTCCCAATGCCAAATATGCCAATTTCTATATTTCGCAGTTTCATAGACACTGCTATAATTATTAACGAAAAAATAACAGAATTAATACAGAATTCTAAATTTAAAGAAAAATTTCCAGAAATTATTTAATAAATAATTTGAAATATCTTTAATCAAAAGAATCATTATTTTATTATATTATTTAATATACATAAATACGATAAAAGTATGCAAATTTAACATATCTATTCAAATTGATCATTGTTTTATACATTTACAATTCTTAAAATTGCACATTTTGTATAACCACTTATTCTTTTCATTTAATTTAGACTTCAGCTGATATTTGAACAATAAAAATTAAAAACATATATGAAAATCACATTATGTAATGTGCAACGAACCATAGACGATTATACGAAACATAAATTTAATATGTGTGATTAAATTTACATGTTTACTGAATAAATCATAAGAAGAATAATAAAGTTTCTTAAGATAAATTTATTACCTAGTAAATACAATTGAATAAATTAACTAAGAAATATTACCACTGATTGCTTGAAAAAGATCATTGCGCTTATAGTGATTCTTTTAAAAATAGTTGCAGAAATAATACTTTTCGCCATAATTAATGTACTGGAATTTGATATTACAATTTTCTTGTATATAGAAAATGACATAACAAATTGTTACCAGCTTAAATCTATTGTTAACAACTGGTAATTCATTTCATTTTACACTTAATTAATAGTTCTTTATACAGGATGTTATGTCACAATGGTAGACAAATGGATAATGTATCTCGTATTATTGATCGTGATTGCTTTATCTTCAGTATTCAAAAAGCGTGTATGGATTAGTGATGTATTTTTGTTTAAAATGCCACTATATATTATGAATGAAACCAGAGTATATCAAAAAGTAAAATTGTATTAAGTCCTATGTAGTTTTTTTAAGAATAAATGATGTATTAAAAATTTGAAAATTTGAAGGGCAATGTGAAAATTAAAAACGCCGAAAAATTTTTGAAGAAATAACTTCCAATTACCTGAACTGAGAATAAAAAATTATTACACGATGCAAATTTTACAATTGCTCACTGATATTGACGACGTTAGATTTCTATCAGTAAAAAATAAATGTTAGGATTGCACGCCGTTACAATAGGTATAGTAAAAACTGCATTTTGACACAAAACATCTCTGATAATTTGAAAATTATGCTACAAAATTCGTGGATATGACAAGTGAAAAATTTGTTTAGGCAGTTTTTGCTCGAATAGCAGCACGTTTTCCAGTAACAGCCTGAAACGAATAAATTAACATTAACAGAGTTCTTAAAGAACAAGACAAAAATAATATGAATTTAAATTAAGTTTAATTACCTGGAAACCAGATTTTATACTAGCCACTGAACATCTTGAGCCACAAGTTTCACACTGTAAGAAAAATAGTCGAGTATCTTTTTGAAGAATAGTATCCGGAGAGCGGCAAGTGTGACATGTAACATATTCTTTAATGTATCTCCTAAGAACATTTTCTATTTGTTTTTGTTGGAAACGACCTTTAATAATAAGTTGACTATTTCCATCAACAGAACCACTAGTTCCCAATTCAGCAAGTAAAAAGTCCAATAAATGTTTTGGTTGCCTATGGAGTGTTTTACATATCTATAAAAGATATTGTAAAATAAATAGCGAGTAAAAAAATTTGTAACCGCAAGTAAAATGGAATTAATAGTGAACCTTACCTCTGTGAAATTAGCAAAAGATGTCTTTTTGGTACCTATACGTACTACTTGAGGAGGACGCATAACAAACTTCTGTTTTTTGCCAGCAACCATATCAGGATTCTTTTCCCTCATAATATTAAATACTCTTACCAATAATTCATCATATGTATAATCTCTATCTGATCCAACCCATAAGCTTGTATCTTCTGCTAAGAAATATAGTACTTTTTTAATATATGATCACATATTTATAAAAATGTAAACAGATCTTATTGGACATGTTTGTGTCTAATTTTATTTACTGAATATCATATATACCACATACATGTAAGATTTTTAATTTCAGAATTAACTTAAATTTTCATTATTTACCAATTTTACTTTAATACTACAAAATTACTATTACAATGTAAAAAGCATAAATAACACTGCTAAATGATTCAGTAAATAACAAATTGCAGGCATGATTCCATGGGTATTTTCCTATTATTTATAACATAACATACACAGAAATATGTTCATTTCAGATTAAACAGAGAGTAATATTATCTTTTTTTTAAATTGATGAAATTTATGGAAGTGCAGAAACAATGTATGTTGTGATATATATAGAAAACAGCGAATATAGCCCTTACCATACTCTGCACTTCGCTCAGATTCAGTGCAGCATGTTAACAAATAATGAGTAACATAAACAACTAGTTACTCCAAGCTATAATACTCTTGTAATATATAATATTTACCATTTTCTTTATCTTCTGTTTCCTTACGTTCTTCCTCAGCTACTAATTCATCGAGATCTTTCTTTTTCTTTTTCTTTTTTTTAGTTTTCGAGAAGTCCATGTCTAAGTCAAAAGTATCATCCACGGCAACTTCTTCTGTTTGTTGTTCAACAACATCCTTTTGAAATCATTCATATATAATTATATTAATCAATTTTTAGTTGTTATATTCAAGCACTAACAAAATATTTAATATTTATAATATAGTTGCTTGTTTCCTTCATAATTATATACCTCTTTTCTTGTATCTGGCAAAGCAGCATCAAGTTCATCTAAATTAAATGCTTTTTTTTTCTTCTTCTTCTTTCTTCCAAAATTCTCTAAGTCCAATGTTTCGTCATCTTCAGCTGGTGCAGGAGGTTCCGGCTCTTGATTCTCTTTATCCACACTGGTTTCCATCGCATCACCAGTGCTACCACCTTCATTAAATGCAGCATCAAGATCAAAGGCAGTTTTCTTCTTCTTCTTTTTCTTTTTTAAAGTAGGATCGAATACCTATAAATTTTATAAATAACTCATGGTTTGATATAACTAAAATTTATGCAATTACTATTATGAGTTTCATAATTTATATAACAATTTGTTATATTACATATCAGTTAAATATCAGTTAATAATTTTATTAACACATCAGTAAAATAATTAATAATTAATTAATACAAATAATTGCAGCCACATATTTTATATAATTTAAAACATTGATGAACTTTCATACATGAATGCTTACAATATATTGAACTCAGTGCATTCAACTTCCTTTATATGATTTCATTCTACAGGTTAAATATCACTTTATAGTATTTGAAATACATTGATCCCTACATAAAATATTGCAATATATAACAAAACATATTGAAGTTACAATAGCAAAAAAATGACACAATAACATATTACACGTCAAAAAAAAGTTAGACTGAAAATAACTTTATGTTGCTTCAAACTATCCACATGGCTTTGAGGTTGGAATTTGTCAAATAGTATTATTTTTATTTTATAAAATTCTAATTGGAAAGCATTCAATTTACTTGAATAAAAGTTTTATTTTTTCATTTATACATTTCAGAATATTATCAAAAAATTAAAAAGTATGTCAAGATGACCATGCACCCATGCTTTTCAGTGGAACATAAATTTCTAAGGATACTCTTCGATATTCTTGCTTACCGAATCTTCTTCAGTCATTTTGAATATCGCACTGAATGCTGTGATGCCTGCAAAAAACCTATCAATTTACTGAGTTTTTAAATATAAATGAACATTTTAATTTTACGATCTTAATCCTTTTACTCCCAGCATTTATACAGTGCAATCACGTCTTAGTAACGAATATTGCATCAGAAATTCGACTTTTAAGCCCAAGGAGTGATTCACACTCCCGAACAGTCCACGCAAGTTAGCGATTCGTCGTGCATCTTGATAAGCATTTCTATTGGTCGATCCTTTTAGTATCAACTAATGAGAAAATACTTGAAATACAATTTCATACACAGCACTAAATAACCTTTTATTACCTACAAGCTTAAACAAGTATTAAACATAAAAAACTTGATTCTATGTACAAGTTACATAAAAATAAAATGTTTATAAATAAAGGATACTATATGTTTTAAACAAATATATATTATTCGTTCGATGAAAGATCGTATTCATCATACGACGAATTTTGGTTTATTCTGCGCATCTCAACTCTAATTGGTTGATACTTTTTGTAAGTAAGGGTAACGCGCATGCGTATTTACAACGTTCATCATGATAAACATGCATATCCAGTGATCCTTCATGTTGTGTACTGATTACATTAAAAATCTCTAAATTGAAAAATTTATAAATGGAATTTCTGATTATATTAATGATCATAATGTAATGGAAGTTTATTATACCAACATTGGTGCACTCAATTATGTCTGTTCTAAATGCACCATATCTACCTTTTCCTTTCCGTATATTTTTGCCCGCCAGGTATATGCTCGACAAAATAGTAATCGTAAGATAATGCAGGACATTGCCAAGGAGTAAGGTGTCCACTGAAGTTAGCTGTGATGCGCGAATCGAGTACGATCTTACGTTGCATGAATAATATATAAATACATTTGATATATCTTTATCTCTGCAAAGTTCTCACACAAATATCCGATAGCTATATGCCAAGTAGCTATACACATATATACAGAAATTTGATACCTATAACCGGAGTACAGGTTATGGATCGAATGGCAGTGATCCGCAGTTTCCAATCTATAATGTGATATTTCATACTTGGCTATAAATATAATTAGTTTACATGTTATTATAATGAATTTAAAGCCAATTTTTGTTTACTACGATCAAATTCTTTGAAAATATACATAATGATTTTAATAAGATGACAAGTTTGCAATGCCAGAAACCTCGCATTACCGGTGCTGTATTATAGTATTGAATCGAGAATATGTATACATATACTGAATGTTAAATTTTATAATGTTCGAAGTAGTGTTTCGTTGTGATTTTGTATAAATAATAAACAAAGTGTTGATTGTTAATGTATTGAGAAAAATTAGTATGATCCACATCTAAGGAAAAGTTCAATATTATCTGCATATAAAACAAGTTCTCACTCGAAAAATGATACAAAAAAGGCTGGAATGAGTAATGAACAAAAAGTGATGTGATAGAAAAATTCAACGCGTGTTTAGTTGTGTTATATATATTGGTGCATGTCAACGCCTATATTAAAAGTACGTACTAAATTACGATACGTTCGAATAATTTGTTTATGTTCAATTCTTTTATAAGAATCGATGAATGTTCTATCGATTACACATTTCAAAATGTTTCAAAGGTCGATATCAGTGTTTTTGTGAAATGATTACGCGATGCGAATTTTATCGAGAGCAAAAATCTGTGGTAAGCAAATTTATTATTTTCGAATTAGAATAATAGATAATTATTTAAATCTGAAAAGACATTGTTTATTCATAACTTTATTACAAATTATTAATGGTTGTTTTGAATGCTGTGCAAAGTTATGTATTTCTTCCAAAAGTGTTCATAAGTTATTTCCGTCGAATTTAGGGATATATTTTGCGATTCTTTCTAAGTTTATATCTCTATTCTGAAACTTACGTACTATATATAAATGAATGGCATATAAACAGTTAACCTTGAACTGTTCCATAGAACTTTTTCCTTATTGATCGTATTTACGGCTAAAATATAGAATGTGACTATAAAAGTAATAGTCAGAACTTAATGACATAAAGATGAATTTAACCTTTGATTTTGTGTACCGACGTGTGATAAAATTCATCTAATATGTTTATATAGATAAAGCAAGGTAAATACCTGTGCACTTTATTGCGTATACATATAGATACAGATTGCAATTTTACGTGTACGTAGTTACATGTATACCATTTGCGTCATTAATAATAGTTATGACGTGCGGTAGTGTCCGGTAAACAGGGAATGTCTAAATTTTTAAGATTTACGAACATTAAAGCAATACATGGAATAATCTGTTTCTACATTGTCAATTTCTGTGGCCCTAATTCTCAACCCAGGTCCTGAAAGTTTTAGCGACGACACTGTCGGATAGTTGGTTTAAAAAAATTAATACAGAAACATTGTACAAAATTAATCACGAGATGCGATTGCATTCATAGCAATGCAATCTTTCTGATCCATTTATTGTTCATTTCTCATCGCAATAATTATAACATTTTTAAAAATCGCTAATTGAAAAGACAAATTATCTATAAATGAGATTGTTGTATAGTTTTTTTTTGCTTGAAATTTATGTAGAGAGAAATAGATTGAAAAGGATTGTTTTGAAATAAAAAATGAGTAAGAATAAAACTCGTAAAATAGATTAGATACAGAATTTATCAGAAATTATCCACATTTACGTTGTTTCTTGTTAGTTTCCATTAGTTTTTACGAGGTCAAAAAATTCTATAACGTTTTGGTTAACGAAGGGGGCGTATAGCGATCGCGATACTATTAGGAACCATTTCAATCATCATGCATGTCACAGTTAGTGCATGCGTGACAACAGATTGTAATAAATGTTTATCTGGTTTTCTATAGCTCTTAAGAGCACGGAGGATCAGGGGAAATACTTCAGTCGTCTTGTTTTCGTTTGATCTGGAATACGTGCGTGAAACAACTCTGTTAATTCAAGTCCAAGTTGATTTAAAATGATCCTTAAGTTTGCGGGAAATCACCGTAATAGAAAAATTGTTAGTTTTATCTAATTACATTAAAAATAATACTGGCAAGAGAAGTATAAGTTATTTTGTACACAAAAATGTACAAATCTATATTGGCGGGAATTCCATAGTATTTGATTAAATTTAAATTTCATAGAACGCGATTTAATGTTAACACTCAAATACGCGAAATCAAATTTTCATTTATTATAAAGTATTATTTCGAAAATGATATTTTCAATCCCTGGAAATTAATTAGTGATTAATTAATATTTTATTAATATTATACAGTGCACAGTTCAATATATAGTATAATATATAATATATTTATATAGTAATATAAAATGAAGTAAGAGACATTCAGTTTTTGGGAGTTTTCGATTTATGTCACTTTCATAATAGGTCATTTCTAATATTAGGTTTAAAAATAAAAATTGTTCATAAAAGTTCAAAGAGCTCTGCTGATAAGACAGTTATCTGCAGAATTTCAGTTAAAATTTTGAAATTGCCCGTAATTCAATTATCTGATTATTTTTTTGCGCAACAATTATCATTTATTGATAATATATATACTTGATCTACTAAGCCAAAATTTATTCACTTCACAGAAAAATGACTACGCATAAGGAAAATTCTGCATCGTACGAAGAAAGTCTCGAAATATCTAACGATGAGAAGGAAACGATCAAGAATGAAAACGAAAAAGAACAATCGATGGAAAGACCGAAATGCAGACTCGACGCAAACGGCCGATTAAATCTGGAAGATATTTTATTGTCTTTCAATGGACCAGTTAGTCAGGAACAAGCATGGGCATTGTGTTATCAAACGGCCAAGAGTTTGTCACGTTTACCAGACAACAATTTTTATGAACTTTCACAGTTATCACAAATTGTCCTTCACAAGGATGGCGATGTTTGGCTTGACAATCTAATCGGTAAGATGACTGATTATTTTTCCAAGAAAGTTCTTTATCCTGCTTATCGTATAGCGTCTTATCTAATTGTTTTAAATGTAGTGAAGAAAAGAGATGGTAAGAAAAGGTAAATGACTAAAAATATCGAGCATGACTACGTAAAAGAAGGCACATGTTTATGTATATGTATATAATATGTTGTTATGCTGCAGTAATGGACAATTGCGTCCTCGAAGACACGATGCACGATCGTACAAATGTCGTGCATTACTGAATATTGATAAATAGTTTAACAATTTTTATATTCTTAAATTTTTTAATTGTTACATTTTTCAATTTTTGATTTTATAAAACCCAAATCAAAATTTCGGCATTTCATCTGCCCATTACTGTTGTATAGTTCTGTATTTGCAATCCAAATAGTCTTATTTATTATTTTGTGTGTTATATTAGTAATAGTCATATTTTAATATACAATAAAATATGACATATACATTTCAGTAACATATATTTTAGTATAGCAATGGTATATGTACAGCATAGTTGTTATTATAGGTATAATGTATCATATATATAATGTTGTGTTATGAAATGTGTTATTATATTTATTATTTCATGTAACTATGCAAAGTTGTTTTATTGTAAATATATGGTAGATTAATAGATATTACAATGTCATATATATAAAGTGTTGGAATAAGCTGAATAAGATATAACTGTAACTTGCAGTATTTAATTAGTAAAAAGAGTCATACATTGATAAAAGTGGATGTACAATGTTTCTGTATTGCACAACAAATACATCAAACTGTGTTACATAATATGTTCAATGTTGTCTCATTTAAACTTTTCTAGAAATATGATATGGTTTTACAAATCTATTTGTAAATCATGCACGATATTTGCGTTTCATTGAGCCTAAATGTTTGGATAGTGATAAGGAATAATTGTTTGTACGATAAAGTTTTCTGATAATATTATTAACATAACAGAACAAGATAACATAATAGAGCAAAAAAGATTAAGAAAGTAATTGAATTTCGTTATGACACTTTCTAAAGATAATCAATTTCTGATCATACATGAATCATTTGCCAATTTAAGAATTTTTATCTGTATTAATACTTCTGTTACAGAATCAAAACAACCCCATGTTTCTGAGCAAAAGGTAAACTAATTTTTTGTGCAAAATAGAAAGTTTTGAAAGATTAATAATATATGAATTATTTTATGAAAAAATTATATTTCTGTTTTTGTTGCAGGCAGTGTTCTCATTGGGTATGATGATCTTCAAAACGCTTGATTTCGGCCTAGATGAACAAGAAGAAAGGCCATTGTCGCCAGATTTAGAAGCTCTTATCACATTAATGACTAGGGCAGATGAAGGTAACAAAAAGTAATAAGAATCATTGCTTAGTTTGTTAATTCTATAAAAATCTTAGAATAATGAAATAGCATTTTTCTATCCCAATATGGTCGCTGTCCTTGTCTCTCTTGTACAGACCAATGCAAAAGAGATTAAGATTGCTCACTTTTATTCAATGCTTCTCAATTCCCTTGCATGAGACTCAGAGTTAATTAGGACTTAACCTGTTGCTGCATTAAGCCAGACCTTTAATTATAGGGCTTTAAGATTTTACTTTCCACTTTTTTTAAATCAATGGAAGCTAGATATGGTCATACTAGGAAGAAAAAATTTATTTTAATTGTTATCTAGAATGTGAAGAAACGGAAGAACGTCCGCAGGAAACGGACGATGAAGGCATTGAGCGGGACTCTAGCGATGCTGATGTAGATGAATATTTAGTACAAAAAACGAATGATACATATGAAGAAAGGCATTTAATGTATTCATTAAAAAATGTAATGCACGTAAGTGCAATATTTTTTGTTTATTTACGCATGCAGCTCATTATTTTTTATTATCGTAGAATGTACATTAATTTATATATTAATTGATAGTTATGCACCAGGCATATGCAAACGTCGGTTGAATCAGCTGAAGCTCATTACAAGGCTGTAATACGGGCATTTGTTGCCGAAGCTTTGGAACTGTCACAGTTTTTGGATACAGTGGCAGCTGATAAATTGCAAGCTAGTCAAAGGGAAGCTGCTAGTAATGGCAGCAATAAACAAAACTCAATGTCTGTTCAGAACCTTGATACATTAGATTTCATTGATTGGGTAAGATTTCAATAACTTCAGTATAATGTGATTCATATTGCAGATTATATTAACAGTGTAATTTTATTCTTCATTTCATATCATTTTACATTTCATTTAAAAATTATAGATACAATATCATGTTAGCATTTGTAACTATAATTTTGAAGTATCGCGGATGTAATATCGTATTTACATATCATTAATGTTCAATTCGTTCGATGTTTAGAGAAAGACTAAAAACTGAACTGTAGTTTTTGGTAGGTGTAATTAAGTGATGACTTGCTACAAAATCAAAGGGTATATGGGAGAAGTTTCGTTTATCGTTTATACGATCTTTTTCCTAATCCTTTTTGCTCCTACGATTTGTAAATCGAACGAATTATCGTAAATGTATGAGTCTCGTTGTCATTCGTGTAAAACTAACAGTACCGTGTCGCATAAAGTCATTTGTCATTTTGCAGAGATAAGATATTTGAGATTTATTGACTTGACTCTCTACCGTTATAGACTGACATTAGGATTTGGAGGGCTATACAAGTATGTCACCATTAATAATGTTTGCGCATGAAGCACTAGAATCTAGATACAACTATTACTGTTAAGCATGTAGCATGATTGTTCACAGTTATTAGAACAGTTTTAATATGCCAATTTTTATGAATTGTAAAAATAGCACTTATTGTAACTGCATGCATTGATGACTCCCTTTCATTTTAAGTATTTTCACCCGTAAAACGTCCTAACAGTTGATTTTTATACTACTTACAAAAAACGGTTTATGTTTAATTAAATTTTTGAAACACTCTTACATAAGTAATACACGTGTTTAATGCAGTTATGGATTTAGGAAATTCAAAGTCATATTCGTCCACAACTTACAAACTGTAGACGAGTCACATACATGTATATATATTTCTTTTACTAAAAAATGTTTTATAATTGATACAAATGCGATTAAAAGTACTATTTCAATAGGCTCGATTTTGGGTACAAGTTATTCAAGAGTTGAGAAAAGGAGTAAAACTGAAAAAGGTAGAAGCTAATTTGGGTTCATCAAAAAATACTACTCGTGGACGTGGGAAAGGTGCAGAATTTGAATTAACGCCTTACGAAATCTTGATGGATGACATCCGAGAGAGAAGATATCGTTTAAGGAAAACACCGTCACCAACGCCTCATTTGCGAAAGGACGCACATGCTGTTATCCTTGAATTTATTCGAAGTAGACCTCCATTAAAAAAGGTAATACTACTATGAATAACAGTATTCCATTTTATCTGTAAAAGTCATTGCACAGTTTCAATGTAAACGAAATAACATTTTACACGTTTCCCATATCAAGTGCATCTTTTGGCTCTAGACCAAATGTCTTTTAACAAAGTAATTTTGTACAGGCTTCGGAGAGACAATTACCACCACTTCAGAAGGAGTGGACTTTATGGGAATTACTCATGGAAAGCATTAAAAAACCACCTAATTTAAGATCATCGCGCAATAGATACGTTCCTAAGAATGAAAGAACGTCCCCCCAAAGTGGTAAGTTGCATTATGTGTTTATTTGTTTAATAGCAATTTTTGCATGCCAAGCTGTTTTACAATATACCTTCATTCGGATATGAATATTTAACAAACTCATGAAAACCAACATATTAACTTTATACATTGTGCATCCATAATTGCAATTATTTTGTATGCATTAAGAAATCATTTGTATACTTTCCTTGCTACTAATTTGTGTGGTACCTCAATAAATCTTTCCAAATATATTGTTTTGTAAATTACAAATAAAATTAACAGGTACTTCATATTTGTATTACTGTCTAAATATTTAATACTGTAATATTAAGATTATAATATTAGTTAAATGGTAAACGCTTAGAATTTAAGAACATTAAATAAATTGAACATAGTTCACAATAGCTCGCGTTATGTCACCAGCTTTGTATAACGGTATATAGCTTATTACTAAAGAAACTCTACATTGCACTTGAGTGTATCTAGTCTGTATTCACTTTCAGTTGAGAAGGGTGGTTCTTTAAAGTTTGCATAAATACAACTCATATGCACGCGGCGATTCCATCCATGTGTTTACATGTACATATGTATAAATGTATATATATTGAATTGATTACGGATGACCGGTAAATACATAGTCACGCGTCGTACACGTGCGATTGTATTTTTACATAAATATATTTAACTAGGAGTATCCATGCGCGAAGCACGGTGGCTGCACGCGCGCGCGCAGCCTACACAGATCCGATCATCTTACCCATTATATTCTCCAGAGTAAAGCTTTGCTAGTTCTACAAAGTGCGACCAGAATAGTGGTATCTGTGGCTTTGTATTTTTTCTTAATAATAATAATAACATCATCATCATCATTACAAATTCCTCAATACTTCTTGTATCCCTAACATTTTCATATTAATTAACTATTTAGAGATTCTTGTGTCGGTCGATGAATGTTAAATGAAGAGTCCATTTAAATTGAAAATTAATATTAGAAAACAAATTTCGCGTTACGCCGTATTATCTCGTATTTCTATGCGTCGTGACTAAGCTTTTTCATTACACATATCCATAATAAATGGAGGGTTGGTCCGAATGAATCATGATTTGCAACGGTAGGCCGGCTTAAGAGCATTGCAAGCCCCAGACCGTCAGCGATCAATAACCGAAAGCGCGCAAAGGGTGAGAGAGCTGACGTCGCTTGAAACGTCATCGTGCAACGCTCTGTAGATCGCTGGCTGGCTGACTCGTGTCGTGTTTCTATCTCTGCGTCGTTTCTTTTCGATGTTTGTCCCTCTCTCCTTTTAACGGAGGAGGGAAACTGCGAGTCGAGCGTGAAATTCAATTGAACTACGTTTAACGTGTACGAGTAAGTCAAGTGTATCAAGAGGAGGATAGGCACACTAACGAACACGTGTGCTTGATGTACAGTCATTACGAGTGGGAGTACGAGCATCGACGTGGACCACGGATTCGAGACGATGGGAAAAAGAGACAGATGAACGAGGAGAACAGCTCGAACGCTGGTAATCAAATATTTTGAATAAAGATCATGGATCAAATAGATTCGATTTGATTGGAATGATAGAAGGTGATGAGCATCTTGATTCCATAGGCTGTGAGATCTTCGAGTCGGACCAGAAAATTCACGGAAAATCGACGAGACTTGGGATTTCCGGTTGGACTTCGTGGTTGTCGCAAGTAAAACCACTGTAAAGAATTGTATCAGAATATGGTATGTCTGGTTTAAATTTACGGTCGTGATCAGCTATTTTAAACCGTTTCATAATTTATTAAGATTATGTTTTGAAACCAGTATCTGCATAGATGTTGTACAACATATGTATTATGCACCAATATAATTTTATCTTATACTATTGATTTTCAAATGATTTTAGAACTGCAGATAAATAACTAATGTAAACAATAGTTATTTTTAATATAACATATTAAACAACTGTACTTATTAATGTTGACATAATCATGCTCTTGCTCAAAATGTTTAAATGTTCTACATCTACATTATGTCATATTTTGTATTAACATTGGTACAATTTTTTACTTTTTTTTGTGATATATTGTTTCATGTATAAAGTGTTTAAATAAATTGAAATATGACACAGCCTCTTCTAATGAAGGACTTCTGGTCACTTTATTCTATGGATAGAAATGATCAGAATTAAACCAGACATACTGTATATTAGAGAACAGAGAGAGACAGTTGAAAGCAGGAATAATGTTATCGACTGTAGGCGGTGAGTCTCGCATGATAGTCCTTGGTGAAGTTCCACCGTCGCAGCCAGAGCAGGAACAGGAATCCGCACAGGATGTGGCGGCACAATGGTTGCAAACAGAGGATCAAACAAATACTACAACTACAACAGCAGGCACAACTACAACCACAACAATGGGCACAACTACGACAAATGTGCCTCCTACAGCAAGTCGAACTAGAACAAATGTGCCACCGGTTCCACAACCACGACAAAGAATCAACAAACCTGACATTAGAGTGCCAGGAAACAGGAATCGTAAGTCGCGTAGAAGGCGCATTACGGTCGCAGGTAATCATACCATTCATCTTTCTTTGATCAACATGCTGGGAAAATTATATAGGAGCAAAGTTTATCAACACTAACCTTTTTTTATAATCATTGAATAATTTCTAACTTTATTCAATAATAATCTTTGGACATTAGTTCACTGTTAAGATCATATATAAGATTGTTAAAAATAAATTTTTATGTAAATTGTTCATTATCTTAATGATATGAAGTATAAACTTTATTTCTTTAATATTATTTAATACCACTAATAGATATTTATTATCTATAGAGTTCATGACCAAGTGATAGATTATATTTACAGATTAAATATTAAGTTATGGAAAACTAAATACAAACATATAAATTCATTTATGTAACTTTAATGATTGCATTTGACCCTACGCGTACACAGGGAGCAGTTATGTATGTATTTTTAAGATTTACTGAGGTACCACAAGCTTATTAATGTTTCCTTTCTTAACTGAACTTCAATCACATGTCATATTCACTGGTCATTAACATACATTTCATTATGTTTCCCAAATTAGTCATGTATATAATTTGAATTTATACCCATACACGCAATTTTTTAGAGTACATCCAGAGAAATGAAAATGAATCATCCACATCTTCAAGACCGCGAAGGGAGCAAGAAAATCTCGAAAATTCTTCAAACAAAAAGAAAGTTATTCACGTGGATTTTGATTTAAAGGTAGACGTGTATAATAATTCTGAGATGAGTGAAATAGCTGAATACTGAAATTTGAAAAATTGTATTTCATTTGTCATGAAATTTTAAAAATTGATTACCTTTTCAATAAACAGCTTGATGCCGAAGATGAGGATGACGACGAAGACTACAACGATGAACTTGCAGTAACAAAATTCGAAGAAGAAGATGAAACATCACACTATTGGCAACTTAAAGAAGGTTATTCGTTTGTAGATAGGGATAGTGCTCGTAATAGGCATAAAGATCATAGGGACGATGACGAAGCAGGCTCTGCAAATCCTTGGCGGAAAACGGGTGGGCTGCGTCTTACGAGAAACGAGTATCACCGATTTTGTGATGCTCAACTTGAATGTAATTATATCACTTGGCAATTTTCAGAATGTTACGAAATTCTTGATATTTTAATCAATAAATCAATTTTATTTCGTAGCTTATGATCTCGCAACACAATGCCCATCTAGAAGAGCATCAGCTCGAAAACATGCAGCTAAGCGTAGTATAGCTCTTACAGCGCTAACTGGAACTACTTCTCTTCCTCATTCAAGACCTCAGAGTCGCCAGCACATAGGCGTGACTGAGTCGACAGTGAGTCAAGGCCCGAGTCCTAATATTAGTCTGAATCCTAGTCCTAGTTTGAGTCCTCAGCCAAGAGCAAGGCAACCACGTCGGTCGCATACCATTGCTGAAGGTACAAAAGATTCCGAAGATCAAAACGAAGACTGGCAAGATGACAAAGGACAGGTAAGGATAGTAATCATAACTGAAATGAAAGGAATTAATTCGTGTAATATAAACTTTTATATTGCGAATAAAAAAATAAATATCTTATCTAATATCAATAAATATTTTGCTAGAAGCCTACATTAGGTGATATGTTCCTGGACGAAAGACTTTCTCTAACTCTTGAAGAGATTGTGCATATACGTAGTGTTCTTACCAAAGCCGAATTGGAATCTCTACCCGTAGAAGGGCGCGTGAAAGAAGATGTAGAAAAGAGACGGGTCTGTTTTCTTTGTTTGAAAACTAGATTTGGATTGTTAGGACCTTGGGGACAACGTTGTCGTTTGTGCGAAAGGACTGTATGTGTAAAATGTTACTCCAAAGTAAGTTCTTCGCTTGCTTCATTGACAGTTAAATACAGCAATAAATTTGCATTTATGTAACAACTTAATATTTCAGATGCGAATTCCAACAGAGCATTTTGCCCACGTTCCAGTAGTTTTATTGTCGCCTGGTCTTCTTCTTTCCCCATCATCCTCAGAACCTGATACCAGCAAAAGTTCTTGGCTTAGAGGCAGCGGTGCAGCTGGATCTGCACCGGCATCACCAGCCTCTAGGCGTAAAGATTCGTCGTTGAAAAGTGTCACGCCATCATCAACGCCAACTACGACACCCGTTTTGATACTAACACCGACTTCTACACCGCCTTCTCACGCGCGCCGTGAAATGGAGAATCAAGAAAAAAGGTGATTAAAAAGGAATATGTATTTGATTATTTGACTTGAATGTACTATTCATTAAAATAGTTTTATATTTAAAAAATTATATAGAAGCTACAAAGGCAGCGGTAGTCCAGCAAACGTTTCATCACCGAAAGCATTTCCGACTTTTGCTAATCAAAGCTCGGAACAACGACTTGCCGCAGAACGATTGCGGGGTGTTTCTATGGTTGTCTGTCACGATTGTCGCATAATGGTTATACAAATAATTAAGAGTTCAAGAACCACACGGGCTACGATACGCAACAATGTTATATCACGACTTACTTTGAACCTCTCGCCAGCCTACGTTTAAATTCTTCAAAAACGAAGTTCCACGCACGAGATTTCTATTTAAAAAAAAAATAGCGCATCTTGTTTTTGATTCTAACGATGGGTAAAATGCTGTTATGCCAATAAGTGAGACACATAGCTTAGATTTAATTCTCCTTGTACCAGTGTCTTCTTGTTCCCCGTATGCTATTAATCTTCTATAAATAGCTAGTATCTCTAAAACAACGAGTGAATCAAGTGTTACGAATTGTGATTGTATATTGAAGGATTGGGTATATTAGTTCTAAAGTTGAATATTTAATTTCGACAGGAAATTGTAAATTATTATTTAAGTGTATTATTTATTATTTATTATTTTTGTTATTGCTAGTGTATGATTTTCATGAAAAATCTAGTACTTAAAGAGAACAAAAGTTTCATTTCGCATTTAAAAATGATATACTTGGTTGAAAGTATAGCATGCAAGAAAAATCAAGTTGAAACATATTTAAGTGAATATGGGATGTCAAAGAAAAATCTATAAAATTGGCACACAGTGGCATCTAATATAGTCTACTAATATAACGCGTACTACTACAGTACGTACTTACATTCAGGCTTATACTTAAGTAGATCGTTAATGCATGCAAATTTAAAAACGATACGATTAGAATTAAGTGTTTCATTATGATGGCTAATGTTCCGTTAATGGTCCTCGATGACGATGAATCGTTTTTGCTTCCCAATTCAATAATTACTATTAATATTATCATAATAATAAAAGTAAATTAATCAAGGCGATTATATTATTAATGCGCTGTGTGCATTCTCAGTTCATAAAAACTGAGAATTCTTGTTTAATTCGATTCATTTTCTCGAAGACAAACGTGTACATATATGTTCCCTTTGCTCCCACATTGTTGTGAACCCCAAATCTAAAGATAATATCGCATTTAACGTAAAATTTAGTTGAGAAAAATTATCATAAGCAAATCAATAAGTGAAAGAAAATTGTTCAGACACTAATCTATATCGATGTGCCAGAAAGTTCGTTTCTCAAACGATCAATAAATATTAATGATATATTGATCATCTGAGATCTAAATAAGATTGACGAAATCAAGTTAAAATAAATTATACTATTTCATAGAGATGTTTGGGTACCCGACATTTCAGGCTCAGCTCAAGTCGGGTCAAGCAAAGTCAAACGAATTCGGATGTGTATCCGAGTCGTACGAACTCTTGGGTAGTACGATTATTTTAAGTTGCAGAAAATTGATCGAACTGAAACAAAATCTGACAATACTCAACTGAATTTAAACGGGTTGAATTAAATTGCAACACGTTGAAGAAAATAATTTTTCCTTCGACTTAATTCGATTTTAAACGGGCTACTCAAGAGCCCGTATCTCGGATTTGTAACCAAATTCGTTTAGCATTTACTAATCTGACTTGACATAATTCAATTACAAATATATCCCTATTTATTAATGCAAATACTTCAGTTGCATAATAGCTAAGCGTATAGCAGTTGTACCATTATTTAATTTTCATTTGTACATATTGCCGATTCTTTTGTATTCGTAACATATTTACTTTTATTTACAACCTTCACTAATAATCTAACGAAGATGAGAGGTACGCATACATAAGCACACACGTACATTTAACCAGTAAAAGAATCAATCAAATAACCCCGGAAGAAATTATCGCTTTTTGCGTCCGTCTGACATTAATTTATTTTAAGAGAAAATATATTTATTTCATAACAGAGGGTCAAAGTCGGATGCACAACTGTATTATAAGCGTGTTTTCATCATAATTCGTGTTAATTTAAACTTTTGTATAATATTTGTGATATTAATTTATTATTTTGTATGTCTGGTATTTATTGTAATTATTTATTTGATTCAATGGAATCACGAGATAAAATGATTTCTTTATATTGTACATATATGTTCTGGGATTTGTGTGAAAGTGTAGAAAAATTTTATTTATTGTAACATTATTGTTTCATGTACTCCTTATTTATATATAGCGTTATGCAATTCTAACAAGAAGTTTATTTTCCTTTTCTTCGTATCTGATGTAATTTCAAATAAATTTATTGTACGGTGAAACAAATTGAGACACGGAGGAAATTGCATTAAAAGGTGACTCTTGTTACAGTCACGTTTATAGAGAAATTAGTACAAGGAAGTGGCTGTTCGCTTGCACGGGCTAGTGCTATTCAAAAGGAAATGTACAAATGTTAACCATTGAAGGTTCAAAGTACAAAAGAAAGAAATGCGAATTGCACTAACAATTAATGCTGGCATGCTCTAGCACCAAATTGTATACACGGCAGTGGAACTATAAATTTGTTGAAATGTACATTGGTAAACTCTATAAACGAGTGGATTGTTTCAGTTGAGGATAAAGTTTATTTTTTTAGTCTCAGGTAGATTTTCAATGGTTTTCAGCCAAAAATCAAAATGACATTTTATAGTACCTCAAAACAATGTACAATGACAGATTTTTGAAAGAAACTACGTAATACAAGGCATTATGATACTTCGTGCAAAAAACGTAAACATGAAATTCTATTTGTAGAATATTATTGTAATAAAACTAAACTAAAACTCCTAACAACAGAGTCACTATGGTATGATATTATAAAGATAAGAGGACTTATGTGATGACAATTATTGAAAACTTATTTATTATATTGATTTATCATTTTTTTTATGTGCAATATATATGTACGTTATGAATAATGATTAAAACCTTTGTTTCTATGATGAAGTTGACCAAATATATACTAAATTCCAAATCAACATTTGAAATGTTTACGAACCAAAATTTATTATTTTATTTTATTATTTATTGCAAGCATTAAAATAGTTTTTAGAAAGATTAACCCATTCATTTCCAAAGAACAAAGCTTAAGTCAGATTGATTAAAAGTTTCTTTTAATTTTATTAATAGAAATATTCAGTTATATATCTTCCTAATTATTAATTTACACGATTGCTTCAATTCTTTAATCTTACACTAAAACTAAAACGAACGGTTGAAATAATTTTATGATTCAAATGAATTTGTCATTTCTGATTTAATACTATTTCATACCTTCAGTTTGTTCAAACAGATAATATTTTTGTACATACATGCGAGTTGCTATTGCTATTTTCAACAGGTAATTTGTTGTCGTTCAAAGCACAAACTTAGCGACGTTAACGTTGTATTTCATCAAAGTAACACGATGATAACAAGTACGTGTTACTATTGATTATGATCTTAAAGAAATCGCGTCATAAATTTATATTATTTCTGTATATTGCTTATGTTGTAACGATCACGATCGCCAAATTTGCGCTTTATTCGTCACATTCACTGCGCATGTTAAACAAATTTACACATTAAACGAATATGATTTTATTTACATTTGAGCGACAAATACACAATAGTTGTTCTATCGAATCGCAGTAGTACTACGTATTCTTCTCAATGATTTCAAAGAAACATATCAATATGAAAATTTATCAGTACATTCAAACGCAATTTGACGTGAAAAATGATGATGATGCAACGTATATTGTTCTACAACGATATACGTGATTCATACATATCATACTGACGCACAGATGATAACAATCGTAATTCATTTATCGGCTACGCTTGCATAAGAAAATAACATGATAGATTTCGGTCTTTAAAAATTCATTTATAAAATAAGAAATATATTTTTCACGAAAATATATATACTTAAAAAATGAATGTCTGAAATGCGAATTATATACATAATGTAATGTTAGCCGTAAAGCTTATACAGTGGGTCATCGTGATAATCATCCACCACATTCATTTTCTAATTCCGCTTAAAAGGATGCTATGTTAGACAGAATCAAATGACGCCTCAGACTATCAGTTAGTCCGTGTCCCTACAAATCAGTTTGCTATAATTTATATTGCCGATCAATCTCATTTTTAAACACAGAAATTTAGAAATCAGGTAATTCAAAAATTTCAGAATTTCTAAATTTCTAATATGAAAAATGTGAGATGATTTAAAGCACGACAAGGAAGAGCAATCTCGCGGTATAATTTATGGCATTTTTGGTTTATGGAAAACATTATAGCCAAGTAGATATAGAAGGAGTTGTTTCTGTGATTCAATGAAGTGAGCAAATGAAGATGGCTTGCGAGTTACCCCTTGATCATGCCTACATGAACATAACATTCTCATAGTATAAGTAATAATACAATTCCATCTATGTTATTGCTTGTTTGCATATAAAAAAGGAACCAAAGTTTGTTGTATATTTTTAACAAAATGAATATGCTTATGTAATGACGTTTATGAAACGTGGTTCACAATAAAAAACGTCCATCTGTAACACTTTGACAAATATTAATTTTTTTTTTATTCTGTTACGTTCACTAAACAATAGCAATTACTCTCTATTAATTTGAAACAATTCTGAGGACTTCTTTCAATAAAAGAATAAGTATCATTATTGCATTATAACTACTGCAATGTCATAAAAATAAAAAGGATACCTCTGTCTTGCTTTTAGTACAAAATGATGTAAAAATGACGACAAAATATATTGGACGATTTTCACTGTGTCCCACTGTACGTTTACTTTCATGCGTTCTTATACCTCATTCATGTTTAATTTCTCGCGCTAACACAAAGCAAACAATGTATCCGACACTATTCTAAAAAATTGTTTACAACGAAGTGAGGGGATAAAGCTAAAATATTTAAATTCTACATTTTAGTATCTAATCAGATTTTACGATTGCAATAGATGAATAACATTAATCATCGATATTCATCTCAAACAACATTCCTGTACAAGATGGTCTACTATAGTAACAAGTGGAAAACGCTGTCCTAACGCTTAAAATGATATGTTAAAAGAAAAAAGTAAAAGAGAGCGTGTAAGAATAATTTCCTGATGTTTGCAATAAATTTGAGATCAGCATGTACAGGAATATATTCTAGATAATAAGAATAAACTTAAACCTCTGTCAAATAAATAAATAGAAAAGTCGCGTATTAAAGAATGTGATGTTTACTGGAAGACGGTATTAGAGTCTGACTGCAAAATTTATTTTTTCTTTGATAAGAATTACAAGAATACAGTTGTAATATTTCGATTATCAAAAATAATCAAAAATGTTATTCTTTTTCATTTAGTGTATTTATCGTTGATTAAAATCATTCATAAAATATTTAAAAACAATTCCAAAGACGTAAAAAACAGTTATTATTATAAAACAAATAAAATAATGTACCACGAAGATTAAAATCATTTTTATACAAAAGCAATCGTAAATTAATACTGAAAAAATCACAGAAAAATCAAGTTCAAAGAATTTAGAAATGGTTGCAACTGTATCCATTAATTCTTACAATTACATAAACTACCGTTTACACTAAAGTGCTGAATAATAAATTCGGCTATTCGCTGAAAATACAATCTTACTTATCCTGTAATTCATCCAGCAGATTTTAATAAAAAATTAAAAAAAAACTCTTGTCACTATATACCCGTAATTTAATAGTCAGCACTCTGGTTATACGGTTCTTAATTTATACAGAAACAATCATTAAACAATGATTAACGTATCAGACAAGTAGCACAAATACGTTGAGGCCCGATACAGTCATCATGACAAAACGCTCCACATTGACGACATATTACCATAGCACCTCGCATGTTACATTCACATGGAGGTGGTGGATCGCCACCCATTATCATACCAGGTGCTCCAGGTTCAGCGCCACCTCCTCCTCTACCATCAGTGCCTCTCGCTTTCAACGTTACAGCTTGATGTGAACCCTCTCCTGCACTGGCCGGTCTGCCACGTACTAAATGCACTCCGACACCCATCCCTGCGATTTGTGGAGGTAGAGGTGGAGCAGAGGATGCTCTCGGCGCACTGTCTCCGACACCTGTCCTTTGTACAAGTATATATTGCCCTAATCCGCTTGTTGTCGTGGATCCTAATTGTGCTACAGTATTGCTTTCTGGAACCTAAAAATGTACTGCTATCACTAACTGTGAAAGAATTTGTCCACTTTTATATAATACAAAACCATGATTTTTCTTTCATCGAAGATTAAGCTGCTACGGTTGCAGTGGAGAATAAATTTTTCTATCTTATTCTTGTTCGTTTTATTTTCAAACAAAAATTATTGAGTAAATATAATAAATTACTCAAATATTTTGTTTCATAGCCTGCTATTTATTGTAACAATATTCAGTATTGTAATATTGTTTCCACTATTATTAGGAACTCAATATTAGTGAAAATATTTACTTAGTTAGGTACCAGTACGATACAATAATCATCACAAGCCACCCGCAAAATTAGTACTATATATACAGAAAAATATAAAGTGGTATATGATACAAAAGTTTAACTCTCTATTTTGTACAAATATTTCAAATACAGGTGGCAAGATTAAATAAGTAAAAATACGTATCTTTATATTTTTCCTAAAATATTAATTTACAATAATTTATATCTTAACTATATTATTTAAAACTGTAGCACAACTTTCCAGTATTATTTTTAGTTTAACAGTTTTATAAGGAATCATTTGCTTATATCTACTTAACGTGTACATAACAATTCTTTGTTAATATATTATAATTTATTTTTTGTGTCGCTTGAAAGTTCATTGTTTAATATATATTCTGATTATTATATCTAGTAATCAGATAAAATGAAAGGAATTATACACCCTTGTCTTGAAACGAAAATAGAAGAAACAAAACATAAGCAAATACAGTGTAATATTTCAAAGAAATATACCTCTGCTGACGTTGCTTGACGTGCTGTTGCAAACACATGTCTCAGCATAACTGCTTGTGTTTTATTTTGAGCTTGTTTGTTTTGTATTGTTTGTGATGGTTTTTGAGTTTTAACGGTCGTAATTGTACGACCACCAGATTTATTAGTAGTGAACGCGCCATCACCTCTAGCAAGTAAACTAGGTGGGGGTTTTAAATGAGCTTTCAATTGATCTCTATTCGGTGAACTTTGTATAACCTGTAATTAAAAAAAATCTATGTTTATAGACAATTCTTATACAAGAATTCCTACTAATATGCTAAACAAATTTCTATAGAAATTCAAGAGTCACCAAAACTTGTACAAGTGACATAGCAGTTAACTTATTAATGTAACAGTAAACTATGCATGTTGCCTCTAAAATTTCAAACTATGAAAAGTTGAAAAGAATTATTGTCAATTTTAAATATAATATAAGTTGTTTATATTACCGCTTGACATATTTGATAGCTGCGCTCCAAATTAACAGCTCCAGGTGGTTCTTTTGTGCTACTACGAGATCTACCTCCGCCTTGTTCCTTATTACTGCTCCTAGAACCTCTTTGACTACCTTGATTGTTAGAGCGGGAAGATCTGGACGTCACCGCAACTGTTGCTCCTGGATACTGTTGTTGTTGTATAGTTGCTACAACTTGACGTGGCTGCGTAGAAGCTGACGTTTGATGTTGAATAACAATGGTATTTTGTGCGCGACTTTGAGGTTGTACGCCAATTGCAGCCGTCACAGCATTCGAAACTTGATTCGGTGTTACGTTGTTTCTGATATTCCGTGCGTTATTATTTTGAGCATTTAACTGGACTATTTCTTCCTGCGTTCTCATTATATTCACCTGCGAACTAGTGTTCTGTTGATTTTGAATTTGAGCCGTAATTGGAGACGTACTGTTCAAAGCTGGGGCATTAGTTTGATCAGAATGGAAACTGGTTTGCACGAATCTGATCGACTGTAATTGTGGAAAAGCAATAATAGGTGAACTCTGTGACTGAAAATTTTTCATTATACAACTTGCGCCTGGTGTGCCGATTGCAAGGCCTTCTGATTGAAATGGAGTTCCTTGAACAACCGGTAACTGAATACAGTTGACCGATTCTACATTCGATTCCGTGTTAATAAATTGTTGAGGTGCATTCGTTGAATCAGTTGATGTAGGTGCATCATTGCATTCATCTTGAGTAGCCACCGTAATATTAGCAGCTACAGATCCATCGAGTGCTGCGGCTACTAACGGCCATGGAACTTGAAGCTCTTCTTGTGTCTTTATAAAATGAAATCAACTTCTTTCAGTACTAAAACGTATTGTTTTTCTTATTATAAATGTTTACTATTTATGTACTCACCCTATTATTATTAGTAATATTATTAACTGTGGGATCCACCGGCCAACTACATTCCAACATTTCAGAACAAACATAATTATTAGCCTCTCTAAGAGCTTCGTCTTCATTTCCGTTATTTACATCTTGTTGATCTCTAGGAGCTTCCGGTGGTCCAGACACTACTTGTGTTTCAGTTTCTTCTGCGCTGTTTGATCCCATTTCCATTCCATCAAGTATGGGATACATTATTTCTTCAGGACATCCTGAAATTTCTTCATACGCTTCACGCATTTCTCCTCTTACCTAAAAGAAATATATATTTATCAAAATCATTTTTTAATTTTGTAATTTTTATTTTATAGCTGGTATTAGAATATCACCTCTAGTTCATGAATACGTTGTAACGTTTCGCTGTCGATTTCCATTCCTTCGGGAATTTGCGATTCGCCGTCTGCTGGATTTTCATGAGTCACTTCAGGTGTTTCAGTCTGATTATTATTAATTAACGTAGAATCCTCCATAACAATTTCTGTTGGTCTAATTTGCTCGTGCGAAGGTGAGGTTTCAAGCATAGTTGTGGTTTCACAATCGGACATAGGATAAATTTGTTCTTCCGACATCTGAGATATTTGTTCTTCTGACATTTGAGATATCTCTTTCGATATTTGAGGTACCTGTTCTACGGAAGATTGAGGCGTGCATTCTGCTGACAACTGAGATGGTGTTTCCCTAGATGTATGAGATATTTGTTCCGCTTGCTCGTTAGATCTCGGTGAAGCAGTTTCTTCGGGTAGAAGCATCGTTTCTTCTTCTGATACTTCAAGAAGGTGATTTTCCATTGGTTGAAGATCTTTCTCACTTTCAGATAAATGAATGTCGTCATTATACACTTCCGATATTTTCTCTTCATAAATTTCTGTTACTACTTCCTTTTCTTCGATTGTATCTTGCTTTTCAGTTAGATTAATAACCTTATCGTCTTCCTCTAATTTATCTTGATGCATTTCAGCGTCTACTATCGTTTCTACAGAACTTATGTTTACAGATTCTATATGTTTTTCATCAATTAATGCATGCGTTGTTTCATTATAGTGTGTTGGTAATAATTCTTGTATGCCTGTTGTATCATTCAGTTCGTCTGAATTATTTATACTCGTTTCAACTTTACAGTTATCTTCCTCAACTTTATCTTCAGACATAATAACAGGGCAAGGAGTATCTAATACAGGCGTATCTACATTAGATTCTAAACGAAGTCTTAAGCTTGAACGTGTTACCGCTCCTCCGGATCTTGATTCCAAAATACAATGAAGACCTGATCTAAGTTTAGGTTCACGTTTTTCACCCCATATAGGTTCAAAATGTTTTACTTTCCAAGGATCTAATTTATTCTTATCTCTTTCTGCCTCCATTTTCAATCGTTGTTGATTTTCTGGAGTAAACTCTCCTTCTGCTAAGCGCTTACGCCATTCTAAACATGCTCTTGCAAAGAATTCATTGTTTAGCCCAGATATAGCAGCATCCTAATAACAAATGAAAATTATAATTATAGGTTTCAAAATATATAATACCTTGGTGGGTTTCCAAATTACCTGTCTATCCACGGCTGGTAAAAGCTGTGCAAGTTTCCTTTGATACAAAGGTGGTAAACCTTGAAATGTATGCCTATTTAAAAGAGCACGCAAACTTGTACTTGCTAGAATACTTGCTGGAGACTCAAGATCTACGAGACCAGCTTCTAATTGTGCAGTTGCTGACAATCTTTTTGTCGATCGTCTACGCCCAGACTTCAAACTAAATCCTGGTAAACTTGCTAAAACTTCTCTCATTGTGGCAGCAGGCTCTTCAGTTGCTATATGTAACATTAAGTCAAAATGTAATAACGAACAAATAAAAATATATATTTTTCAATTCATTAAATCTATTTCTTTCGTAAAATTTGCTTTCAATAATATTTGTATATATTTAAATAACAACAAACGTTACATTAATAAAAACATTTTACTTACTGGTGTTAATATGCTGTACATTATTGACTGGAGATGGTGGATCATTCGGTGGAGGAGGAGGTAATGGTTTAACAACAATCCTTGGTAGAGTACGAGAATTACCAGCTGCGATAGTTGTATTTTTCCTACGCCTCTTGGCCTGCTGTCGTAACGCATGTTTGATAACTTTTTTACTGTGCACCATGCTAGAATAGCCAGAACAACCTGGACTAGTTTCACACCCTTCACCTTTGGCAAGTTCTACATCTGTGTCCATGACAAGTACCTATACTACGAACATCGTTGATCGAAATGCCGGCAAACTGAATGTGAATCCACGATAATGATTTGTTCACTCAAACATGGGTATTACGTATTTTATTTCATATTGTCAGAAAAAAAGACTCCAAAAATGCTTATTCTGGTTTCAGAAATAAACATTCTTCAATAATAGCACCTAAATGACATTTTGATAGAATTAAAAAAACTTAAACGATATGTACCCTAGCTTTTAATCCATGTCGTTCGAAGAATTGTTCACGTACGAAATTCAAGTAAATTTCTGAACTTCACTATATTTTAAGCCATTGGCAAAATGCCATTCGGAAACACTCGCAATGTTCCGCTTCTATCGGCCATATTGTATTTACATATTTATACCATGAAAGCGCCATCTCATAGAGTGTTTCCTAGTTTGATGCGCACGTTTAATATTTCTATTCTATTTAACATAGTCGTTTGTGCCGTAGATATTTTAATTATATATCGCTAAATTTAAAGAAAGATACAAATAAATTAAGAATAAAAACAAGCTTATATTGTATTCAATTTTCATTTCTTGTATGTTTCTTCTCTATTCGGTTCTACACAGTCTATAATCTATGATAATACACATGCGCTCTTCTGACGCTAATGTGCTGAAAATATATACCCAGCAGGCAGAAAGTTTTATATCTAATTCTTGTTTATTGCAATATATTTCAGTTTAAATAGCTTTTCGTATAATAAATATACTAAAACAATTAAAGTAGAGTATTCTTTTTACGCTCGGGTACAACATAAATAAGTTTCCTTTGAATAAGGACAATATACAAGAAGTAGTATTTCACATTTTTCATTTCACAGTTTTGACAGCCAATACATATTTTAGTGTTGAGGGTTTATCCATTAAAAAATTAAATATTCTTTTGTATACTAACTTTTTGTTTGCTGAGTATATTCGGCGTCACAATAATTATAAAAGCGCATGCGTGTTACCATAAATTACAGAATATATAGAACGAAACAGAGTTAATATTACATTAATAAACGCTGGCTTGTTATGTAGCAAGTTTATTTTCCTGTGAAATAATCTACTTTCCTCTGTTATGACCCTAATGAGAAAACTACATTTCAAATTGTAATGAAAACTATGAAATTTTTTATTGGATAATACAAACTATTTGAACAAAAACTTCATGTACTGTATCAATAAAATATTAACATATTTGATAAATATGTCTATGTATGTATACATAGACTTAAAAGTAATTAAATATAACAAAATATGAAAATCGTGTTTACAATTTTTAGCGCTTGTTTCAACTCTACTACTTCAAAGGTCATAAAGCTATCGATATCGTATTCGATACTTCAGAACTTTTTAAATGAAATTTTATTAATTCTTTTAACGATATAGAATACCCCTAATAATTTTTAATACGCGTCATTTTAAAAATAGAATAATTGTTGTGTGTACAAAATTCTCGTGCAAAATTGACTTAAGGATTTTTTCTTGTAATTGCCATTCTACATTTCCCGCCAACATGGCAAATATGGCGGAACTCGTCCCGTTTCCCGCCAAGCCCTCACGGACCTCTTGTATGGCGCACCTCGGTTGTGTTGCGATAGAAATTAATTGTGTTTTCTCACGGTTTTTTTAAGTTTCCCAACGAAAATGGGACAGTCGGACGACGTTGAAGATTCTACTTATAGTAGACATCAAGATTTGTGTCAGAAATTAAATATGGATGCGACTGCTGCAGCCGAAGCCTGGAAATCTTATGAAACAATCAGACAAAATTATACTCTTGAGGTACTTTTTAAATTACTCATTATCAGAATTGTTATGAGTTCCACCGTCTTTTAGATTTAGACGATACTATCTCTCCAGTGCTTTGATGACAGATCATGAATATATTATTTTTCGTTTAATTTTCAATGCGCGAACTGATCAACTCTACTCAACGTTTAATATTGCCGAATTCGCGGTTTGTTTTGTTCAAACGATTAAAGCGCACCAATTTAAAATAACAAGGAAGTACATTGATCAAACATATCAATTTTGAAATGTGAGAGAAATGTTTTTACATATTAAAAGCAAATTAATAGAAAGTACTGAACTAGACCTGCCACTATTTGTTTCTTTCTTATTTATGCTTGTAACTCCAAATGTTAATTTTATAATTTTTTGTTCATTATCAGTGTCTTCCAATATGCATAACTCCCTTTTTTCCTAATATATGAAAATATTTATGGAACATTTGTATCTATTAATTTATAAATATGTGAAATTACGTATCTCTAAAATTTGATGTCTGTTTTTAGGGTGATCAGTTACATTGGATTGGATGTGCATTATACGTAGCATGCCGTAAGTCTTCTATACCTACTGTTGGAAAGACTGGTCCTAATGTGGAAGGCAATTGCGTGTCATTGACACGTTTGTTACAATTGTGTAATCTTCCATTGATACAGTTCTTTACCAAAAGTAAGTCTTGGGCCGATATGGCCAATATGCCACAAGATTTTCGGTCGAAGATAGAGAAACTTGAAGGGAATTTTGCTGTTTCTATGGTTATATTTAAAAAGTATCAACCAATATTTACCGATATATTCAAAGATCCTGAGGATGATATTTCAAGACCACCTAGATCTAGACGACACAGGGCAATGCCTTGTACACCTGGCAGAGTATTTGAATTTTGTTGGACATTATTTATTTGTATAAAGGGAGCTTTTCCAGATATCTCGGATGATTTAGTTAATTCTTATCATTTGCTTTTGGCCTGCTGTGATTTTATATATAGTAATGCTCTGTTGGCTAACAGGAAGGATCTTTTAAATCCTAATTTTCCTGGTAAATATACCTAATTCTCATTTATACTGTTGTACAAAACAAAATAGCCCTTTTTATTTATATATTCATTGACAGGTTTGCCACCAAATTTCAACGATGAGAATTATACTCCTCCTCAGACTGCAAATTGTATAATTAATTTGTTATGTGAACGTCATGAAGCTATCTCAGTTGAAGCTAAGGTCATTAAGGAATATTATCTGCGAAATCATATTAATAAATTATTCAATGAAAGAGTGTTGCGTGGTGATCAGTCAAATTTTTCTGGTATTCTGGAAGCTTTGAATTTTGACGGCAACAGCAAAGCTATTAATAAAGTATATGAACAACATGTACTAAGTGTTGGAGATTTTGATGAAAGAATTTTTTTAGGTAATTATTTTCATTTACATTAATTTATATTTCTATAAAAAGTCCAACTCTTGATCTTGCTTCTTGTTATGGGAGTAGTGCCTGTAAATAAAATCAAATAGTGCTAGATGTAATATGCTTCTATGCTTTTATTTGTTTCTGCTTTGATATCCTAGCTTGCATCTGTAAATTATTGTATGAGTGTGCATAACTTCATAGTGCTTAAAATTGCTTAATTATTTAACTGTACATTACTGTATAGTGTCATCTTGCTATTCATAAATAAACAGCTGTGAAACATAGTTATTGAATGCAGTTACAAATAAAAAATTGTACTACTCATGTATGTGTAATTTTCAAGGTTATCTTATAGATTTGCTTATGTTTTCTGATTTGCATTTTTTAACAAAGAAGAAAATGTCTGATAATTTTTCATTTTGTCTTGTAATAATTTTCATTTCTTGCTGTTAATCATTTTGGGTTTGCTTTGTCTTGGCTGTAATTTACAGCTGATTGGAGAAGAGTCAGATTAAATGGAGTATCAAGTTTGGAAATAGTAGGAGGAAATATAGCTTATCATGCTAAATTATCCAAACATATTTCCATAAAAGGTAGGTTCAAAATACATAAAAAGCTTAATCGAATATTATTCATATCTTATATTATTATTCATATCAAATATTATCATATCTTATTGTCTTTAATTGGTTTTCTATAGTAATTATATATTGTACAGTGTTATCACATATTTATATCTTACTTTAATTTGTTTCAGGTAATGATGCTAGTAATAATATTGGTTCTCCAACGCAAATGATGAATGTTGGTGATCTTCAAGAACAGTTTCAAATGAAAAGGGAGCAATATAGTGGTGTAAGTATTGAACAAACTGTACAAATGAATTGTATTTGCAAATAAACAGAGTTCTAATGAAATTTTTATAAAAACTTTTACAGCAAATACAGCATTTAGCGCCACCTACTCCATTAACTGGTCGCGGTTATCTTAAATCTAAAGATATCACTAATGTGACACCGGTAACAACTGCGACACAAAGTGTAATTCGCCTTCAGGCTATGTTAGCGGGTCAAACATCACCGAGTGAAAACCTGTTACAAATTTTAAATGGTTGTTCTCAAGATGTAAAGACACTGGTTGAATCAAAAGTGAAAGAAATTGGGGAACAATTTTGTGCTAACTACAACAAAAGTACAAACGCCAATGAAACCACTTCAGATTTTGGAAAGAAAAGACTTTATTTAGGACAAACTCTTTTCTACAGACTATTAGAAAAGATTGTAAATGACGAAAAACGCAAGAAACCGAATTACGACGTGACGGTACGTTAATCGATCATTTAAAAAACAAATAGAAAAAATTTATTTATTATTTTCATCGTAACATTTGGTTTGTTACAGAATCTTCTAATGAACGAAGTCTTCATTCAGTGTTTATTCGCTTGCTGTTTAGAAATTGTCATTTATTCGTATAAAAGCAACGACAAAATCTTCCCATGGATTTTAAACGCTTTGAATTTAGACGCCTACTATTTCTACAAAGTCATAGAAATTATAGTCAGAGCAGAGGATCAATTGTCGCGCGACGTGGTGAAACATTTAAATCAAATAGAAGAAAAAATTTTAGAATCCCTTGCATGGAAAAGTGACAGTCCATTATGGAGTGCTATTCAATCCACACCAGAAGGCGTACCAAGCTGTGAAGAAGTTTCTTTACCCGGCACGTTAGAAACAGTCGATCCAAATATCCCCGGTCAACCAGCGTTAAGAAGAATTGCTTTGGACCGCGGTACTCACCACGACGTACAACAAAGTCCCATTTCTTCTGCCTCCGAAAGATTTCATTCCCCTGTTGCGGCATCCGGCGCAATTAAGAAACGTCTGTTTCCTGATACCAGAATCAGTGGACAGAGCGTGTTACGAGTAGCTGGACAAAACGTCCTACCGTCGAAAGTTTTAATCGATAGTAATTCAAGGATCCTTCTATTACCTGATCAAATCACGGTCCCAAGATCGTCTGGTGTTCAAGCCAGCAGTTCGCCTATGCAAACTGTGACCGTCAACAGGGAACCAGCGAGACCAAAACGAACTGGTTCCGTAGCGCTATTCTTTAGGAAATTTTATAATCTTGCAAGCGTACGCATGTTAGACTTGTGCGGTTCGTTAGAAATAATGGATATCGATTTGAAGAAAAAGATATGGACTATCTTCGAGTACTCGATCAAGGATCGGACGGAATTGATGAAGGATCGACATCTCGATCAAATTTTAATGTGTGCAATTTATGTGATATGCAAGTTAGCGAAAATGGAAAAGAATTCGTTTACCGAAATCATGCGATGTTATCGATTACAACCGCAAGCTGAGTCTCACATATACAGATCGGTACTTATAGCTAAAACACCTTCGGACGAGTCGCAGAAAGCTAGCGAAGAAAGCGGACAGAAAGATGTAACGGATAAAGAGCCTAATGTTGCACCTCCTACACCTACAAACATGGCTGGAACTTCACAAAATTTCGGTGAAGAAACGCGTGGAGATCTGATCAAATTCTATAACACGGTATACGTGCCGCAGGTTAAAGAAGTGGCAAATAAATTGGGACTAGCACGTGGTAGCGTAACCAGTTTGTCGTTAAGTCCATTGCCAAAAGGGAAACCTCCTACGAGTTCTCCTGTGAGACGTGTCACCAGTAGCATCATGACACGTACATTAGACCCGAAAGCTATTTCAGCTTCTCCGGCACCACAGCTTAGTTATTGTTTTAGTCGTAGTCCTGCTAAGGTAAATTAAATATTATTTGTTAGTTAAAGTAGTCTCTATATATTTGATATATCAAATATTTTTTTTTATTTACAGGATTTAGAGGCTATTAATAAAATGATGATATCCGTCGATCCAAAGCGATCTGTTGGAAAACGACTTTTGTCGGATGATACTGACGTAGAAATGACTGAGGCGACATCCCCTGCTAAAAAGACGACTGCCTTTGTCGCTCGAAAATTAGAGAACATCATTGGGGAACGACGCACGCAAAACCAATAAGAAATTTAATCGACTGTTAAATAGGTTATTGAGAACTGAATATTAGGCAACGGAAAGAGAATCTTCGGAAGACATTTTCGTTTTTATTGAACAAAAATCGATCGATATTAACGAGTAGGAAAAGAAGCCGTTTTTTGAAGTCGAATATCTGTTTCTTGGCTGTGTAGCTTAAAATAAACGAAACGTTCGCTTCTCAGGTATGATCATATTAGAAACTGAAGAAAGGCCTGTATAATACCAGTATAATATCGTATACAAGGATACGATGTTGTTGTATTGAATAAAGTCAGAATTTCATTTCCAGTGCTTAAATATACATATTCTGAAGGTGATAATTCCTAAATATCGATAAAAGTAGAATATAGCGAGCATTCTCTTGATGTTTCATTTTTAAATATTTTAGAGGTTGTAATATATTTTATATCCATTGCTATGTACCAATAACAATTTTTAATAACCTTACAAAGTAAACAATAATTTTAAAATCGCTCTAAGTTTGCTAACTGTTGTTAAATACTGCGTTGTTATTAATGTTAGGGATGTTCATTAAATATTCTCATTTCACTGGAAATGATTCTGACTTTTATTGATATCACAGATCAACGGTATTTTGATAGAGCTATGTACTCTCTTTAAAGTTATATATGTGTATATATATAACTTATACATATGTACGATGAATTTTGTAAGAGGTACGGCCATAGATGGTAAAAGAATACTATTTTTACCGGTAGATTTAAGCATGCTGCAAAGGCAGTGAATGCTCGACGCATGCAAATACAATTTGGGTGATATTTAATTAAAGTTATTAGGCTTAAGTTTCAATTTACAAAATTTCAACGTTTAATCAATTGTATTCTTTGGTCTTGAATGTAATAAGTTATTCGCGTTTCTCGAGATTTCATTCGTCTCACGGTACTGAGACCCTCGATTTCCGGCCACGTGTCAACGCGTGTGTATTAGATTTAAGTGTATTCTTTTCTTTTTTTTTTTCAAATTTGACTTTTGATCTCATTAATCTGTCTTTTATTACCAAACAATACATATAAATTACAAATATTATTGTTAAGATTAGAATGACATTGAAATGACTTAGAACTGGAAAAGGTTCTTTCTTTGATAAATGTACAATACAAAACGAGTTTTCAGACGAATTTATAAGTAAAAATCGATAACAGAATGATACAAAACATTTAATTTTATCATCTACGTAACGATTTTTTCAAGTAACGTATTTGTATGGTTCTCGAAATAGGAGGATAATTTCAATGAGGAAGAGATATTGTTTCTCGTTGCGCAATTACGGCAGTTCCTCTAATAATTTTTTTTAAATGAAATAAAAATGTAAAGAATTTTATTGGCATATAATAATTATTAAATAGTTTATCTGTATATAGTATTGTAATTCGAAAGTAAATCAAAACAAATAAAATTCGAAAATTTATATTTTATACCCGCTTTTAGTGAAACATTGGCGGCATTTCCTTTGGAATCTACTAACGAAATAATCACATTGTAGGTAAGGTAAAGTATAGAGATTTATATAAAAATTTATTTAAAGAAATAAAAATGTGTTTGCTTGTATATGATATACCTTTATTGTGTAGCTAATATACACATTAAGCTATTACAAAGTTCCACAAACTATTTATTCATATCCTACACATAACACACAATATTAATATTGTTTCATATAAAGTGGAATTTATAATTTGAATTTTCAACGAATCATTTTATTCCCGCTAGTGAATGACTGACCGAAATTATTGCGCTTGGACGTTCACGACATTATGTTTCAATGATCCATACGTATGCTGTTCTTACAAACGAACAGAAATATTTTCGCAAACGTAATATGTAAATTATCTAATGTAATCTGCCAGCTCATTGCTTGTACAAGTAAAGACTCATATTTTATGATATATTAAAACTTATCGTACATTATTATATCGATTGAAGTTATGGAAAATGTTCATAACAAATTAACATACAAGAAAACTTACTGGAGTTTTAAATGTTGTAGGAACTTGTATATACAATTTCATAAATCATTTTAAACACTTATTATATAATATCCACAATAGATACTATATAGAAGCAAGAAATTGATTACGATACTTGTACAGAGCAACAAATGCACTACTAGTATACATAACATTATGCATACTACTCAGAAAATACAAGTAAACTATATTCTAGTCATAATGTATGATTTTATGTTCGAAGAAACATGTAAGTAAAAATAATCGTGCTCGAAGTAATATTATAAAAAATGTGTTTGGCATATCACTTACATTTACAATTGTAAGAAAGCTTTAGGTACATACAATTAATCAGGAGCTAATGGTAACCAAAATTAATTTTTCTTTTACCGAGTACTCTGATGTTCTCACAATATATTGCCAACCTAAAGCTGTTCTTTCATGAACATTGCATGATCCACAAAGTGGACCGAGAAATATGTATATCCTTGACCGCATCCTTTTTTCCACAGAGAAAGAAAACCTTATAGAAGGAAAGGTTAATTAAGATCTTGGATCATTTGAACTAGTAACAGTTACAACTGTTTTCAGTCTGATATTGTAATCCATGTACTGACACGATCGACGATAATCCTCTATTGTACGAACAAAGAAGCTTTGATTAAATGATCTGACGATTTTTTACACTAACTAGTTGGAGGAGGTGGTGGAGGTGGTTGTGCCAATAGTGTCGGCAAAGTATTGAGATCAATGCCAGGTGGCGCTGGTGTTTGTTGTTGTGGAGGAGGTGGAACAGGAGCCGCTGGTGGCCATCCACCCATTTGTTGCGGCTGCCATCCTGGAAATCCTGGTGGTGGAGCTGTTCCAGGTGGAGGTGGGCGCATCGGTCCTTGTTGTCCCTGCTGCCACGGTGGAATTCCCATTCCAGGCGGTGGAATTTGTGCTGGTGGCATTTGTCCGGGTGGTGGTGGTTGATTGTTTCCAGCCATCCAAGGCATTAATGGTGGAATATTTGGCTGAGTCGTCGAACCAGGTGGCGGCGGAGGTGGTTGCATTACACCGGGTGGAGGAGGCATACTAACTGGAGGTTGCCATTGCATATTCATACCGTTCATGTTATTTACTTCGCCTTGACTCCATGGAGGCGGAGCCATTCCTGGCGGAGGCATCATTGGACCACCTTGCATCATTTGGGGCGGTGGATGGGCTGGTGCTGCCATTAACGCACGAGGTGCTTGTTGCCTAAAAGAGGAAACATATTAGTTACAATGTATCTGTATTATCCTTTATGATTCATAAAGGATGAAACTTACCTATCGAAGAGACCAGGATAGTTAGGATTAGGATTTGGTTGACGTGGTTGCCCGCTTTTAGATCGATCTGGTGGTGGACCTTCGCCTAATTCTGCCATAAGGGACATGTATTCTTCGTCTATTTTAGCTTTATCTCCACCTGGTCCCATTCCTCCCATTCCTGCAGCAGCTGGCCCGCCTTGGCCAGGTCTTTTAGATCTACAATCACGTGCAATGTGCCCTGCTCCTCCACAGCTTGAGCATACTATATTGTTTGTTACATTCGGTTTGTCTGGACACTAAAGAAATTGACAAGAAAATACAATAAATTACTGACATATATAAAATGTATAATAAGGATACTATAGTATGATATAAACTTACCAGCCATGATTTGTGATCAGACGCGCCACAATTAGTACAACGTGGTCCGTCATTTTCGCGCAATGTTCCATTTAACAAAGCTAGTTCTCTAAGTTGATTGCGTCGTAAATCATTTTGTCCTTCTGGTACTTCTACTCCTTGTCGAATGATTTCATGTATCTGATAACAGAAATATTTAATTGTTACACTTTAATAAGCATTTACATGAGAAACATATCTAATTGCAAACACACTACATACTCTTTCAACAGCTTTCTTTACAGCATCTAAATTGTTAGCTGTAATATACGCGTGTAAAGGTTCATCCTCACCAGGTAACGGTTGACCATCTTTCCTCCCAACTTTTCCCTCTTTTACAGAACCCTTACCGCGGATTATAATCTTTGCTCCAGTTTCCTTTTCCATCGCTGTAATATTAAAAAGTAATGTAATAATTATGCAAGGTTGCTTTCAGTTTAGTTTAGTTAAACTTACATTTTAATGTGTTCCCACGTGGACCAATAAGGAGACCAACAAAATTAATATCTGGATGTTCTTCTTGTGGTATCATGACTTTATCATGAACTCGTATTATTGGTGGTCTAGAAATAATGAAGTTTTATACCGCTTATGAATATTACACAATATAAAATCAAATACATTCCACAAAAGAATATTTATGTTCACTTACTTATAATCTGGTGGGGGCTTAAATTCTGGATTAATTTTGAGAATCTTCTGAATAAGATTATGACGTTCTTCTTCCAATTTACGTCTAGTACGATATTCTCTTGTATTCAACCGTTTACCATCACTACTGTATATGGGTTCAGGAGATGGAGATCTGTAAAACAAAAGAACAAGATTTTGTCAAGAAAGAAAGTTTGCATCAAGATGATGCTAGCGTACAAGCAACCTGATCCTACTATGATTGTGTGATTAAGTGAAGAAAGAACTGCTGTTTATTAGCAGAAAGTTGGAAATTAGGATAATATTTTAATCGACTTTTTGAAGTTATTAGGCTTTAGTTAACAATTTGTATTTAACATAAACTTTTTGTCTTAATAAGTAGGATTCTGACCATGTTGGAAAAAGTATATTCTTTACAATGTAGTATATTGAGAAAGCACTCCTCATAAAATATATATTAAAATTTATACTAAATAAATTAAATGTAAGCTTTTATATCAAAAGAAGAAAGTTGAAAATTAAATTATTTATGAAGATTATTTCCCGTGTAATATTTTACTTTTACTTTAAATTAAAGATAAAGTTAACTCATATAAATTTATGATTTTAATAATTGTTACTTATATCTTAAAGCATTATTAAGAAGTTTTCAGTATATTATAACTTTACTGATTTAAAATGAGTCAATCTTCCAAATTTTCCAACAGTGCCAAGGTATCAAAATAAAGAGTAAAAAATTATATAATGTTAAATGCAGCATTGCTATAAGTCTATTCAGTAGGAAACCACTGGAAGACTGCGCGTTTGTGCACGGCAGAAATCGGTATGATGTCAGCTGCTAAGATAGATCCTGTGATTATTAGGAAATAATTTTTTTGGGTTAGTTAATAATTTGTATATCTTACTATATTGTATAATACTAATGAAACACAATAATATAAAATAATGGTTCCAGCTAAAATCAGAACAGTTAAACCTATTGGAATAAATTAATTTATTAGAAAAATTAATATGTATTCATTTAAGTTGCACCTGAAAGTAATGTAATATTGATCTTTACAGTATTATTGCTTATGGTAGCAGTTAAAATTTTTATCATTTTCAATATTTTCCTGTAATCTGCTCATTAATTTAAAGTCTATTGTAGTTAATTAATTGTAATACTCCTGTAGCATTATAATACTAAATAATATGGACTAAACGTGCCGTGCAAATCACGGCAGCCTATTAAAAAAATGTGTCTGTTAAGGTGCTCTATGCATGGATTTCCATTAATGCATGGAAATTACCAATAAGAATAATTTTTAATAGTGGATTACGGTAATTAAATAGAGCCTATTAACTCATATAGAATAGTCTGCACGAGAACACCTCCGAATCTCCCTACATGTGCAAGAATATAACTATTTGAAAGATATATGGACTAGAATACCCACTGTGCGTTAAACACTGCTACTGTAATAGTTCTTTTACTTGTATATTTTATATGTCTAATTATATGCAATACTATTATTATACCATATACGAAAAATTTCTAATTGTTGGATGGAACTGTTAAGAGTAATTTTAAAATAGTAATACTTGTTTCCTTTGTATTTGATTATCGACAATAGCATGCACTTATTTTGATGCCTTAACTTTTTTTTATACATCTTTGTATATTCACATATTTCAGCAAAGCTGTTCTTGTAGCAATGTTTAATAAAAAATGAATTAGTAAAAGAAATTGATTAGGGCAAACCAATATTATCAAAATTCATCTTCTGTGCTGCGCTGAGGCTTTAATCAAGCCCAATCTTTTCAAACAGACATCAGTATCCCACACTAATTGTACTGGAGCCATATCATAAGGCCCCTGTATTTATGGGCTGCTGAATGGTCAGTAGAGAGGTATTGTAGATATGTTATGGTCATTTTTGGTATGTAAGTTTCGTTCAAACCTTTCCTCAGGATTAAGTGGAATTCCAAGATCTCCGGTACGTAGCTTCCTGCTGATTTCCTCAATCTGCAGCTGAACTGTAAACCAACGGGTTAGAGGGGGCGGAAACCCCAACAGTTAGATATTGCCAATTTGCCATAACCATACATTCTATAATGTAAGCATGTTTCAAAATTGTAGAATATTCACCTAAGTCTAAGATTTTGTAAATATCCGAGGTAAATATTTTAATAAAATTCATGCTTCCATTTATATCTTATTAAAATACAGGAACATACTTTTACACAATTGTTTTTTAATGATCTATTGCATAATTATAATACAATCTAATATAACATAATATAATTGCAGAACTAAAGAATAAGACTTAAAAAGGAATTAAATACACTAAATAAAATAAACTGAAAATTTTACATTTATTATTCAGCAAAATTGGCAATTCCTATTGCCAAACTCGCTTGTTGAATATATTTCAAAGGGCAATTACTTCCAGCGACTATTAATTTTAAATAATTCATACATACTTACATCTTTCATAGCACTATAAATTAGGTATCAGAAATTGAAATGCAGAAGCAAGATTTTTAAATCATTTCCTGCCCATAGATGTATATATACGTGTATAACATAATTAAATCAAACAAATGAAAGAATAAATAAAATAAACTTACAGAGATAAGCCTTCTCCTGTTCAGGAGTCAGGTTAGTTGGTAGAACCGTAGGCATGCCTGGTATAAAAGTTTTGTCATGTTCACTACCGCCCCATCTAGTTCTCCTCCTCTTCCTACGTTCCTCTTTTGTCTCTTTCTCTTGCTTACTATCATCTAAAACATTTACAAATTACTTATAGCTTATATGTTTATCTATTACATGTTACAAACTAGTGTTAAAATAAACTCTGTGCCTGCAGCTTTGAAAACTCAAATCTGGAGTAATTTAAATTGTATATGATCTTTGTATTAATACATTGGCTTATATCAGTATAATCCTACAATGTTAGTTGATCCCAATGTTATCCCGGTTTTATTTATTCTTGATTTAGTTTGATACAAACATAACACAATTATTCACATAAACAACTAATATGATATTGATATAATATTCCACATGAGAAAATCTGTGGCAAAATCAAGTCTTGCTCGTACCAAAACAGTATTCTCATTTTTGCATTGATGCAATTCACTTTTGAATCTGATATCCAAATACAGACCTACATACACTGCAGCATTCCTTGTAAAATCTAAAAGTCAATGCATGAATCGCAATACATTTCAGTACCTATATCAGCTTTTAACCTCGAAGACTGAGCTTTAAATCTTAAAGGACCCCACTTTCATACATCACTATTACAACTAAATTCTATATTTTTCAAAACAAATAATTCTAATATTTAAAATACATAATCAATTTATAAACGGTAAGTACAAAACTTAACAATTAAAATTAAATAAATTGTGTTGGAGAAATTATACATGTATGTGTATGATTAACAAATTGTATACATAAAATCAGGTCGCGCAACACAAAACGATATCGAATCAATGGCGTAACAAGGACAACTCGCAACTTACTTTCCGCTTCGCGTTTTCTGGTGTTATTCGTCGGAGAATTCGAATTGAAGTTAAGCTGCGTTCCATTTGCAATCGCGGCACTTACCGCGGCAGCTGCAGCAGCTGCAGCGGCAGCC